TTCCTATGACTCTGTGTTCCGCAACTGCTAATTTTTTATTTAGGGTTGTTTTGTGTTGCATGTCCTTTGGGTTTTAATGTCCGACTTAGAATTTTGAATTATAAAATGATTGCATTCACTTTTTAGATTGTCGGAACTGATGATGAAGCTGGACTCTGAAACATTTTCAATATCGACATAGAGAATTTTCTTGGCGTTTTCTTTGCTTTTAAACTCCTTGTGAACTTGCGATTTAAGCAGACTAATAATATAAGTAGTTGCCAGGCCGATGGATGCGGATCACATTGACAGAGCTTAATGTATTCAACAAATTTTAACAAATGACTCCGGTTTGCGGTTTAAAAATGCAGCTGCTCTACTCAAACAATTCTTTCCAGCCGTATCTATCACTACCAAACGTCGGCCTGGTCACGTCCGAATGCAAACGACTCGACATATACAGCTATTTAGCTTCTTTGATCTCGTGTATATAATCTTAACTTGTGTATCTACAATGCTGCATCTGAAGGATGAAGGCTGAATCGCGGTAACGGTCAGTGTAGGTCAGTGTCGGTATTAAGTTCTGCTTCGTCACTAGCACGATCAGTGTTAAGTTCCGAATCGTTACACGTTTCTAAATTTATTAATGACTTCAAAAGCTAAACTCAATGATGACTTCTTCAGCTAAACCTAAAAATGACTTCTTGAACTAAACTTTGATGATGACTTCTTGAGCTAAACTTAATGATGATTTCTTAAGCTAAACTTAGTGATGACTGCTTAAACTAAACTTAATGATGACTTCTTGAGCTAAACTTAGGAATAACTTCTTGAGCTAAACTTAAGTACTACTTTTTGACTGTACTACTTGACTGCGCTGCAGTTTTGTACTCGTGTTGTTGCGTGAGATTCGTGGCCCCGCAACAACCCCGCAGCTTTTCCTACAGTCCCCCCGGCGCGTCCCTGGGGCCCAGGCTCGGTCGTGATAAGGCACGACGCTCGCTCTGGATAAATCAATCTTTGGTGGCAACCAAAGCCACAAGTCAACGCTGAAAATTGCCTCAGGTCCTTCGATGGCTTATCACGACGCTGTCGGGCGTGGTATTATCTTCGCATTATTATATGTGACTGCAGACCATGTCAAAGCAGGCCATGTCACTGCAGACCATGTCACTGCAGGCCATGTCACTGCAGGCCATGTCACTGCAGACCATGGTACTGCAGACCATGTCACTGCAGGCCATGTCACTGCAGGCCATGTCACTGCAGGCCATGTCACTGCAGACCGTGTTACTGCAGACCGTGTCACTGCAGGTCATGTCACTGCAGACCGTGTCACTGCAGACCGTGTCACTGCAGACCGTGTCACTGCAGACCGTGTCACTGCAGACCGTGTCACTGCAGACCGTAAGTCAATGTGGATCATGTCACTGCCGACCTTATGCCTCTGCAAACCATATGCCTCTGCAAACCATATGTCATTGCAGACCATATATGCCTCTTCAAACCATATGTCATTGCAGACCATAAGTCTTTAGATTCATTCTATCATTAAGTTTAATTACTTTATTCAAAGTGGTTACGTCCTTGTTGCGTGATGCTGGATCAAATCTTAGTGCCACTTTTAGTTGTTATTCACAACAACCGGCCGGCATCTCCGCATGACAGTGGGTGGTTAGAATATTAGGTACATTAACAGGTACGTACAGTAATAACAGATACAGGATTATCAAATTAACAGGTACAGTATTATCAAAAATTGTTAAGATTTCGTAGCTCCGTCATCCATTCATTGACTCTTTTTTAAGCTAAACCCACCCACCAATCACAGACCAGTATTTGGCAGCTACGTGAACTTGAGCGAGTTTTTACAATACAGCTCCAGAAAATTAAGATCTCCTATATTTGCATTATTGCGTGGGCAGAAGCCAATAACGCCCTAAATCTACAAACTCTTCAAGAGTGTTTTAATCATAAAATGCAATAGGATTTTGACTTCCTTGATCATTAAATTCATCGCAGATTGTGATTAATTTTTACTTTCGCTGGAGAAAAAATCATTTAAGAATATATCCTGTATTTTCNCAGATTGTGATCAATTTTTACTTTCGCTGGAGAAAAAATTATTGAAGAATATATCCTGTATTTTCTACCTTCCATCATTACCTATTAAAGCCGAATCATGGAAAATTACGAGTCCCTCATGTGTTATTTTCGAACAAATTTGAGTTTGTTAACATATCTTTTCTCCTAAAAACTTCAAGTCATACTCGAGGCTGGCCCATTATATTATACAACCTAACTAAAAAAATACACACAAAATGTTGAGCTCGCTACAGCTGTGCTGCTCGCCGCTCTCCTTCGCCGCTCGCTGCTGCTATTATCAACGGCGGTCGTTTGTCTCTCTGACTCCGCGTCGTCTGAAAATTATTTCCGGCGGTTTGGGTATAAATTTATCTACCAGTTCACTTTTATTAAATCTGCTGGTGCGTTTCTTGATCTAACCTTAGCTGATACGAATTGCAATGACTTTGCCAAGCGGATGCGGATTTGTGATGTATATCTACGCATTGAAGAAACCAGAATACAATTCCTTATCTATTGTATCAGTGTCGTCTTAATTAGTGGCGAGCGTATCTCAAGGCTTGCGTGTAGTTTGTGGCGAATAATTAGATATTCAAGAGGCAGTGAGCGGAAGCTCCCCATTGCATTTGGAGAAATAAATTGTCGGTGCGCTGGCATTTAGCCATTACGCTGAGTCTTGAATTTTCCCGTAGCTTTCACTATGACTTTAGTAGCCTCTTCGGTCGAAGGATAATTTCGCTCTAAATGCAAGGAATATTGTAACAAACTTACCAGGTTGTTGCACTTTTGCGGAATAATTTTTTGTTTCACAAGATCGGATAGAATATGAAGGATATTATTCAAAGTTTGGAAATTGAAATAGGAAAGAAGAAATACCTAATTTTAAACAAAAGTTGAGACGTGCGATTTTTTGAGTGCGCTGAAGCGATAACGTAGCAGTTACCGCTCCTGTCACTGAAGATCGCAGTCCCCAGTTCCTGCAAGTTCTGAGGCAGGTAAATATCGTGGCCAGGAGGTAATTACGCCAGCTCTCAATCAACGTCAGGTCAACTATCATTATTGGCTAAAAATTAAAGGAATTTATTGGTCATTTTGTATGGGCTGACGCTTTTAATTAGCAGTCACGCACAGTGTCACCGATTTCTTCCTATTATTTTAATTCTTTTCCTTGTATTCATATCGTTGTGAGCAAGCTTTTTTTTCTCTTTGATAGGAGTTTGAGCATAACGGACATATATTATAGCACACTGTATGTGAATTATGTTACAGCTCTTTCATTATTAACGCACTCGATCTGCTTCATAACTCGCCTCTAAATATTATCGAAAAAATTTGTGTTGGAAAAAATTCTTATCCATAAACTTGGTATTTTTAATTCTGCGTTCGCGGTTTTACATTTCTGACCAATCAAGTTTTCTTTAAGATATCAATCTGTAATAAAGCTCTGCATTTTAATTTATATTCCCACGTTGGGAGAAGCTTATAATTTTTTTTTTGCTTGGAAACTTCAAGACGCTGATTTAATTAATAAAAAAACAGTGAAAACCTGACCGGTTGTTCCCAACAATCATGTATGAGTGAGAACTATTGGTAAAATACTTAAGCTTCCATGAAGACATTGCCTATCTTTGCACGAGTTCGAAACACGATTTGTTTTTTGTCTGTGCCAGAGATTTTACTGTACAGCTTCGTATGACGTCATAGTATTATGGTACTGTTTCACTGACGTTACGAGATGGTACAGGCCCGCAAAAAATTGTTCAGATCTGGGTGCCGTCATTTACAGGTTCGACTTTCTTTGCGCAGCCTCGCTAAAGTTTTGATACAGGTTTTCTTGCCTTCACCGGACAGGTTCGAATCTCGAGTCTCGACCGAAGCATGACTGGAAATGTTCCAGTGCTGTGCCAATAATTCCCCAGGAGCGCAGACGCTTGCAATCATTATTTCCTTTTCAAATTATTTATTTTGCAGACAATTTATTGGCGAGCGTCGGCGCTCACAATTTCCGTAGCTCAACATAATTTCCTTAGCTCGTTTGTGCTTCGTCAAGATGCATCGTTGAGCTCACCACAGTTTTTGCAGACATAATTGACTGGGAATACTCGTGGGTTTTTTCTGTTACATGATATTTGTCTGGAATATTTCTTCCATCATCTATACAAGCAAAGTAATGAAGTAACTGTGACAAGAAACGGTAAATGGTCGCCGAGGTATAATAAATTGTACATGGTTCCATGGCAGACGATGTGAAGCGTTTGACTTGGATGGATTGCACTTGAGATCTTCATATCATAACCGATATTTTCTTGGAAGAATTTCATTTAGTTTCTGTAACATGCCTTGCGCGTATAACTGCTGCATAAAGTGGCGGTTTAAATGTGACCAGTTTTAGCGGTCTGAGACATTTGCTGATTTCAAGCAAAATTCGACTAATTTTTTAATTCCTCGTGCTGACGCTCATAATATTTCTAACTGTAAGTTTTATTTCTGTTTAGAATCTATTCTGTATTTTCATTTTCAGACTCTTTTTCTTACATTAATCACCATTTTAATTTGTATAAGGAACGTTTCACTGAAAATTAGCCTAATTGCAGGTCTAAAGCTTGAATTTTTCAGCAGAAATTATCTATTTAATTCACTATGTGTTACTTTCCAATCTAACCATCAAGAACATTCGTATATTGGTGCATTCTCAGCTACATCAGAAGCAAATACATTGCATGAAACAATACAATGATGCGGTATATATCAAATTTATTCAGTAGATGACTAAATTTAATATCTGTTCGTCCATGTATGTACATGATCTGCAAGGCCACTAAACAATGATGCGGTATATATCAAATTTATTCAGTAGATGACTAAATTTAATAACTGTTCGTCAAGGTACATGATATTCGAGGCCACTAAAGATGTTTTTCTTTCTACCGCAGGCGGAGAGAGGAGGTTTGGATGGCGTCGTCAGTCAGTTGCTGTGAGTACACACCATTTACATTCCTCTATTGTCTCTTAACTTCTATTATTAATTGTTCACTTATTTTTCATTATATTTTATTTTGTCGATAATTTTAGAGGTGTTTTAGTTTTTTTAATCTCCTTTGTTTTATATCTTAAATAATTTTCACAAACCTAATTATACATTTGACTGTGTCTAAAATATTGGAAAAGTTTTTCGTACTATATTTCTAGAATCACGATTTTTCAATTGGTTGCTAGATAGCTTATTTGCTTCTCTGTGTTCTTTTCCATCAAATTATGGTGTAAGCTTGTTTTCTGTTGTCACATATTTTACTGTTATAATTATTGAGAAAAATCTATGGACCACGGATGAAAAGCTGAAGTCAACTAAACTTACTTGACGCAATAGAGTTGAACGAGGCATAAAGTCGTGGAAGGCGGGTTATAAATATACGTACAATGATTCGGTGATGTAAGATCTTTTGAAGACTCGGACCTGGTATGGAAAACGCCTCTGATATCATTTTCTCTGCTAACCTTCTCCGCTTGATCAGCGCTCTTATTCTACGGTATCTCGTAAAATACTTATCATTATCATTGAAAATTTTTATTTTTTACTTACCAATAATGGAGAGCAGGAGGTGTTCTTTAAGAGTTTCAAGAACTTTACAGCACCGAAATGCTTGGCTAACCATTATTGCTGGCCATTGCTGAGGAAATAGCGGTTGCTAACACTTAGGCTTTGTGAACTTCAAAGGCATTTTCTGTTGAATCGATCATTATGGCAGGCCAGCAACGGGGAACTATTCAGACATATGCTTTGTCTGAATTATGTATTGTTTAGTTCGATCGAAAATATGACTATTAAATGTTAGCCCGGAGCTGTTGAGGATAAAATTCCTACAATATTTTAATTTAGTTATCCCCAAATCGTGTTAATAAGAAATAATAATTGTTAATTGAGAAAAGACTCTTTTTATCTCAAAATTTGTATAAAACATAAAACTCTTACATGAATTAAAAAAAAATAAAAAAAGGCCCGTATGGTCTTCTAAATACAGCTTCTATGAACCCATTTAAAAATTGAATTTTTATTTTTGGTCGAACTCTTTCCTCAAAGTTTTCCAATTCCTTGCTGGTCTTCCATTAGGAATAAAATTTTTGTGTCCAGGTGACTTGATATAAATGTCATGGATATGCCCTAAATATTTGTGGTGCCAGGCTTCAAACAAATGTGCAAATATCCCCGCAAGCTTTCACTAATACTAATGACATTAGAGCAATCCAGTGAAATGAATTGGCAAGTTCGTTAACGTAGACGTATTAAACTTCAGCAAGTTTGCTTGATAAAGTCAATGAACAATTAGTTAACGGAACATTAAAAGGAAAACAAGTCATTGTACAGTCAATAACAATATCTCTATTCCTCCAATGATTCGTGTTCCTATTTTACGCCGCTCCATGCATCATGGGAATTCTAAAATGTTTGTGCGTAGGTCTAATGCCTATTGAGTTAAACATCCTTTTCCTGTCGAATAATCGATTTCTTCTAGTTGAGTGATTCCAAATACGAGTTATTCAAACGAAGGGTGAGGCTGCTTTGACAAATTTGAAATTTATTCTCCCGAAAGCAGCAGCTAGGTAGCGATGATCAGACCTAAGCTGAACCGGGTTTTGAAGCCGGCGCCAAACAACCTTGGAAAACTTGCTAATAATTACTTAAGGATTAATGCAACTCATGGAGTGATTTTCAAAGATATTTTGAAAGGGTTACTGAGTTTACTATTGTCAAGATATAAAATTTTGGCGTTAAATTTGATGGCCCTACAGCGTATTGAAGATGTTGAATTTGGCACATGAATTTAAATGGATGAATCACTTTATGATTAATGTCATAAACAATTACTGCAGTTCATGATCAGTGCCATTAACGATTAGTACCGTATATGATTGGTGCATTTATAACAGACGACATTTTTGCCTTTGCCTGCGTGGTATCTGACTGCAACTTTCTATTGTGAGGTTAAGTCATTAATTGTGTAGGCAGGTCAGTTGCATGTTTATGTTGTTCGTGTTAAATTAAGCTGGTTTAATTTGTACCTGTAGTAGTCAGACTAAGTCATCCATAACTCATCTTAATATAAAGCATATGAATTAATGTGTTGTTACAGGCCGGGGCAGAACCCCTTCTACAGTTTCATCAACAGCGCTCCCGACATTCGACCCAGGAGGAAGTCCATCCCCCTCGTGTCCGAGCTGGTCAGTGATATTCCTCAGTCTTTTGTATACCTTATATTTCTAACTATATTCCTTATCTAATGCTGGAATTTTAGTCGCGTTAATTAATTCTTCTTGCTTACCTTCGACCCTTTGCTTCCTTATGCTAACTTTCGTTAAAAGGACTTTAGAACGAATAGCATTGACTATATACGGCCCACGTATCCGGGAGCAAAATGTTAAAGACTTGAAGCTTTTGAACAAATAGACGACTGATTTCCAAATTTTGTCACACTTGACTGTTTTAAATGTACATTTGGAACTGCGTTTGAAAACCCAATGAACCAAATTGTAATCAGAACTGCAATATATTCCATCTTACGTGATTTTACTTACGCCTTGTGCGCTCATCGACATAGCGTGACTTTTTATCCAGATTTGACGATCTCAGGGCTTGATCGATTTGCTGATTCGCGGAGGTTTATATTCTAAATGAATTCTAATTAGATGTGAAATAACTTTCGAAGTTGGAGCAGTGAAGCCTGATAAGAATAGCACTGTGAAGCTTAGCCTAGAAACAAACGTTCGAAGATCACATCAAGGTATATTACTCAAAATTACTGCAAAATTGAGGGTGAAAGTACGATCTTTACATGTTTTTGATGCAATTGTCATGATTAGGTATAAATTGAAAAAAGTCAAGCTAAATGAGACATGACGACTAGGAGACACAATCACCTATTTATGGTGTGAAGTAATAATTCAGTTGACTATGATTTCTGGACATTTGTAGTAAATTCGATGTCAGGTTCTCAAGGCAAATGCATGTAATTCATAAAAAATTATTCTGCAATGGTTGGTCATCTGAAACAACTCATGATTACGCTTCCGATTGAATATTTTGCCGTATATCGTTGTTTTTAGCGCATTTTCTCATTTATGAAAAAATACACTATTGTGCTCGCCATGTCCGTCTGTCTGTCCGTCCGTGACCTTAAGTTTCCGTCGACGAGAAAATGCGCTCTCTGTCACTCACTGCAGTGAGTACTGAGTTATATTTTTTAGCTTATCATGTTTCAATGTAAATACGCTGTTTAATCCTTCTGTTCTTTTCTCCTCTTGCTGCTGCAGGTGCTCAAGGTAAGCCAATATGAGTGTTTGTAGGTAACGTTTGAGAAATTCCTAAAAAGTTCATCTCACTGGTACTTCTTTGCTTGTATTTTGAGTGGTCATTTATATTAATTTCCATAGGTTTTAGCATCTACAACTTTTATTCGGATCAAGATTGATTAATTATCTACTCGAAACTACCTCAACGGCTTCTCAAGTCACCTGAAAACCAGATAACGTAGTTACTTCTGAACACCAAGTTCAGAAGTAACTATTAGAATCTAAATAGGTGTTCATTAATATATAGCAAATTAGTGATATCGCAAAAGTATTCAGAAATTTCACGCTATCAAATTTTTCTTCCACGAATTGCCCAATCATTCACCACATCATCCGCCCCGAGATTCAGCATTCCCACTCGGAGAACATTCCCATTCCAGGGAAACTGCTGCACATTTTTCCTTTGCATCCACTAATATGATCTCAAATTCTGTGTTGTCTGTGTAATGTCTGTGTTAGACATAATGTCTACATGTTAATATCTTTTCTCTCGCACTCTTCTTACGTCTCAGCTTCTGCATTGCAACGGGACGAAACTGGCATGTTTTCTAATGCTTATTCATGCAACTCTCTATACTTTGTCTGTTAATGTTGTGTATCTATTGTGTGAAACTCGGTTCAGCTATTATAATCCATAATAATCTGTGAAGCGATTGTATAATCGAATTGTAAATAATAAATGATTGTATAATCGAATAATTAACTAATTAACTACTGTGGTACTGTTTACAACGTTTGACATTGGATACTCGTGGTAGATCTATGATGGTTTATATCGAGTGTATTAAGAGCATATCATCATGACGCGTCTTGTTGGTGATATATGCGATTTGTATATCATGTCGTATGAGCAATGCACGGCTTTAAAACACGATTAATTTTTATTCGAAGTGTCGACGGAAATTTATTCATTTATTTAAATGCAGACTATAAAGATCAAGGAAAGTAGCGAGTTTTTATTTATTTAAATTTGGTATCAAAATGTATATAATTGATGAGCCACTTATATAAATACTAATTAAGTCAAGAACTTTTGACTGAGAATGGATATCGCGACATTATTTGCTAGTCAAACCCAGAGTATAAAGGAGACATGAGCCAAAGGCCATCCTACTTAATCTAACGACCACAATGGGTAGGTACAAACTTTCCTCTTTCGTATAAGAGGGTATAGTTACATTTTCTTTTTAATTTTAATATGATTAATGCTTTAATGTTGTTCCTCGAATGAGGAGCTTGAAGATCGCTCAGACAGTTACCTAAATGAAAGGTTTTTAGAATGAATTTTTTCTGTAGTATTACCAGGTAAAACATTTTCGAGTGATTTACTTTGGGGACTACGAGGCAGAATAGATCGTAATGAAATCACGATCAAAGTTCGCTCATCCTGTATTCCGAGTACGTTCTAATCCTATCGTGATGTCCCTGCTGCGGATACATAAACAAACGTCCCGGTTGTCAATGTCACGAACGATCTCCAATTACTTTAATCCCGGTCTAGATCTAGGAATTGAGGCCTTTTTCACTGTAATAACATCAATGCACTGTATTATTTTTTTTTATTGCGTAAAACTATAATTATGGCTGACTTGAGTGAACTTTAGCTAGTGTTCGGTGAAGACGATATCATCGCCTAGATATTTCAATCTGGGACCAAAAATTGTAGAATTTTCAATTGAATGAAAATTTTTAAACGTCCTTGGGATCAACTTCATTTATCTCGACTGACCTCGATCAGCACGTAGGAAACCGAAATTCTGCGTTTTTGGTAGCAAGCGTTTCCTGATGATTTGACTCATTGAAACTTGGTTTGAAAATGAATACTGGTTAAAATTAATTGTTTATTCCCTTTGTGGTAGTTTTTACTGTGGCGTAGCCGTTGACAAACATTTAATTGGATTTCTTGAACCAAATTAATAATTCAAAACCACTTTGGCGTAAATACGATTTCTGTGTGTTGTGTACAAACAGACTCCGTCTTAAATATGGCTTTTACCGATATATTTTCATTATTCAATAAGACGCTAAAAACTTTTATTGATGATCAAGCGCGATAAATTGCGACAATTTTATTCCTACATACAACCATTTTGCGACAATACTGCATCCCTGTCCAAACGTTCATATTCGCGTCGGAATATGCGCGTGCGTGGTACTGCGTTGAGGGATATAGATGTATAACTGTGAAATAGAAGTTACCGAGAAGTGCTATCATGCTTACTTATAGCACCTATCCAGAATTGCTATCTTGTTCACCTAGGCTCGATACCTCAGTTATCCCAAATTTCTATCCTGCTCACTTAGATTCGAAATCACAGTTATCCCGAGTGGCTATTATTAAATTTTGAATTGCTCTGCAGGATCTATACCCGACCTCAGTTCGCAATCCTGGTGATAAAACTCTTCTGCTTGATCTGACTCTAAAAAATCTTAATATAATAATAAGTCATTCGTCAAGGATAAAAGAACATTTTTACAATAATTATATCCTTTTATTAAATTTCTTAACAAAAGTTGACTATCGAATTAATTCTTGTCTTTTTCAATGTGGAATTTTTGCCGTCGTGAAAATCTATTTTAAATCTGATGAAGAACTACTAGTGGTAAACTAGTTACGAAAATGCGTTGCCCTCGAAAATTCAGAGCTCACATGCAAATAGATCATTGTACTACCAAAATATCTAACATAAAATAGAACTTATAAACTCTAAAATTACAAACATATTAAATATCCTTCAGCTATTCTCCTCACTTAGGTTCAATGTCAGTAATGCTGTCAAAGGTTCTGAAAGCAAAAAATTTGAAAAGTTCAGAGCTATAAACCATTGAATCTAACCAACTGGACCAATATTTCCATCACCTCGATTTATTGTCATTCGGGCCGGTTCGCTTCTGGGTCTCATTTCAATTTTGCAGCGTTTACAATACACAGCAATCTCCCTTCTGTAACGCACTGCTTCAGAAATACGAGGAAGTGTGTACGAATTTTTAATAATTGTTAACCCCAAAAAAATTCGTAATGTTTTCCTAGCATTAACCTCGCAAGGTTTTTCCTCAGTCGGAATTTTAGTTCTATGCCTAAAGCGCACTATGGCACCGATGAGACTGTACGCTGTTTCGATCAATGCTTTACTTTTTTAGTGAAAAATTTATGCGCAGAACTGTGCATTTTTGAATTATTTAGCACCAAATATTGAAATTATAAACGGCTTAAATTCTGTGGTAAGACATGATGAATTCGTCATTGACGTGAATACTGTAACACGGAATTTCAGAGTTGTCGACGATTTGAATTTTGTGGCACTCAATGTGAAAATTATCCATGAATTGAATTCGGTGGCACAAAATATTAAAATTATCAACAAAATGAATTACATGGTACGAAATTTGAAAATTACCAACAAAATGAATTCTGTGGCTCGAAATTGTATAATTATCAACGAACTGAATTCTGTGACACGGAATTTCAGAGTTCTCAACGACACGAATATTGTGGCATGAAATGTTAAAATTATCAATGAATTGAGTTCTGTTGCTCCAAATGTAAAAATTATCAACGAATTTTATTCTGAGGTATGAAATGGTAAATTATCAATGAATTGAATTTTGTACAGCGAAATGTTAGAATTATCAATGAATCAAGCCTTGACATTAGCTAAGGCAGCTCAAGATTTTATTATGCAGGGACTCGTTGGAATTGTTCAAAACAGAATTTGAATAGTGCTCGAAAACCAGAGTAAGAAAATCCTGTTGTAATCCGATCCTGAAAGTATTACTGTGAATACGATATTTCGGTTCTATTGTATATTCAGTGAAATTGCTCCGTTGAGGACAGAATTCAGAACACATTTCGTTACATTACTTTTAAAAAGATACAATAGTGAAGGAAAGTCAAACCTCGCAACGAAGATATTAGCCTTAACATTAAAGTTTTATGCCAGTGTAAAGTATGCGAGATATTCGAAATAAATTTTTGTCTTATAAATTAAAATCGGATTTAAAACTTTAATGCTCTCTCTAAAACTGGAATGTGTGTGGTCCCAAGACAGCACTGCTCGCAATACTGTTGAATCCTTTGCTAAGATAATTTTTTCGCTTGCCTCTTCTTGCTCTTATTTGATAGTTTGTACGGCGGTTCCCTTCTTGCATGTTGTCTTATGCCTGCGCTTCATGTTGCCATAATCTGCGAAAATAATGTTTAATATAAATAATTATATCATTGATGATAATGGTAATTTAGAATAATCAATTAGTATTGACATTAATGTGCCATCATTAACATTAATGTGCCTTACCCACCTTACTTACCTTAGCCTTTTATTTTTCCTCAAGTTTAACACGTTGACTCCGAAGTGGTACATATGCGTACCACGAGGTGTATTATTCCAGGACTTAGTGGTACATAATTCAGGGTTGCCGGATGGCCTAAAAAACGGCCAACTCCGCGAACAAAAAAGACAAAAAAAAACTATAACTCAATATATACTAGTATTTTTATAGGTTCCGGTGTAAAAGTCAAATTTATTTTTTTTAGTTTTTAAATTTAATTATGAACTACCCATATCATAATTTTTAGCCGGCCAGCGCAATTAAAAAAAACAAATCGCGGAATTTGTGTGGAAAAGAAGACCTTGTGGCAGCCTTGTTTCATAATAGTACAAAAGATGCAATAATAGAAAAAGATGAAGCAATCGAAGTCAACGTGTTAACCCACGGAAGTGAGTCCTGATATGAAAGTCACTGTAAACGACCAACCAAAAGTGCATTTAAATACCCTGGGAACTCCCATATTTTGCATTCGCTCACTTAACGACCCTGCAACATAGATGCTCGTATTTGTTTCTGTGCATAATTTTCTCTTTTTTTATCACTCTATTCTTATTTTTTAATTCACTGCTGCTTTTCTCGGTGGTTTCTTCCCTTAATTAAGTCATGTAAATTTAAGATTTACTTTCCTCGTTCGTAATGCAATGTGTAGACGTGTTTCTATTCTCATTCCACTGTTGCTCTTGCACGAAATTTCTCTTGAAATTTAATATACCTTAAATGTGTTGCTTTCTAGCATGTAGTGCGTTCAAAAAATCCGTCTTAACGAGCCCAATATTTCATATTATTACCTAAGCAATTCATTATAAATCAGAACCTACAAACTTTACTCTGTAGCAATCATTTCCAGCACAAGCTAGCCTCATTTCATTAACCATGTAGAAGATCATGATCATTTATCTATGATGAAACATTTTACTCAAGTTATTAGCGCTGCTCACTTGTACATTTTCATCATATCCATCACAGTCACATCTCTTGCTCCGGCCACCCATCTCATGACGCCCGGTAACAACCGATGTATCGGTCACACTTCCCACAGCTCCTTGATTATCTTGTTCCCTATCTCACCCAACATCGTTCTTATCAAAAGATTTCGTTTATCACTCCAAATCGTTCTAATTATCTTTTTTCATATCTCACCCATAACCTCTTTTCTCACGCCTCACTCTTTATCTCGATATCGCAGTTAAGGGGTGTATCGATATCGCAGTATCACCCCCTTCGTCGATATCGCAGTTGAGATAAGGGGTAGAACCCCTTATCTCAACCCTCACCCCATATCTCAACCCTCACCCCATATCTCAACCCTCACCTCTTGTCTCAATCCTCATCTCTTATCTCAACCCTCATCCCTTATCTCACCCCTTATCTCACCCCTTATCTCACCCTTACCATTTAACTCACCCCTAACCCCTATTCTCACCCCTAAACCCTTATCTCACCCCTAAACCCTTATCTCACCCCTTACCCTTTATCTCACCCCTCAGACAATGGCAGCTACGAAGCGCAATGCCGGCCTTCCCTCTGCGGTGCCGCGAGCGTCTCTCAACGATGAAGAATTGGTGAGTCACAGTGATATTTTATTAATTATTTCTTTGTTCTTTTACTTGTTCATTGAGTTCTTTCAATGAAATTTCATCTCCCACAAATTTTCTCAAACGTCCGCCACAGGCTAAATTGAACCACGCAATTTGATGTTCTGCGTCACACAATCGTTCAGTTAGTCAGATGGCCCCCACTACTGATTATTTATTTAAATGACTTCCTTGTTAATGTTTTTCTTTGCACATATTTTTCTCATCACGTACTGGTTTATCGTTGTTCAAGTACTATATTAGTCATGTTGGAACAGTTTATGAAAATTTTTTCTGCATTGTGGTTCTATGAAAAGAAATTTCCTTTCCGAAAACTCTAGCTCCAAAATTTCATTTGTGTACTCATCTTCCTCGGTCTCTCGTTTTACTGTAAATACTTCTACATTGCATGGGATAGTGTAGACTTCTACTTGTCTGACTTCATTGAAATGAAGTATTATCTTGAAATAAAGTCACAGTGGACACTTAATGTAGCGACGCCTCGTACGTTCGACCTCAAGTTTAGTAAGCGTAATGAGTTCTGCCCAACAATACCCTGGAACTCGGGACGTATAATCCCCATCACTAAATTAAGATAAGAATAACGGAGCCACCCGGACAATCTGATCAAGAAATAGGGAAGTTTATACCAGGCGCCCGACTGTTAAATTGAAATTAATCTAATGTGGTGTTCAACCACCGTAGGTTTATTACTGGGCCGTTCGTTCGAGATATAATTTTATATCTTGCCAAGTTACGATCATTTGTCTACCGTCATATGAAATGATTTGAACTAGTTAATAAATATTGGTATTAAATGCTTACCTTGAAGAAAAACCGCAATATTTTCAATCGTAGCTCATCCGAAAAAAAAAAATAAATTTCAAATTTGTAAGTCATGTGTGCAAAATTTTCTGTAAATGAAAATACTTATTAATTCCTAAACGTTTTCAAATAACATAAAGATTCAATAAAGGTAATAATTTTTTGGAACTTACAGAATCAAAACATTAATTACTGTTCAAATCATTGTCTTAAAGATATTACAGGATTGGATGACGCACAGAATTTCACAGAAGATATTCGATGTGAAGTACAACATCAAATACCATAAAGCTGTCACGCCGTAAGAACTTATTCTATATCCTGGTGTGCTTTATTTAACAAGTAAAATTCACAGTTCAAAATTATAAAATTACCAATTCTTGAGATTTGAGAATTTATATATTGAAGAAGCGAACGATGGACACTCCTATGTTGAGGTTGTCGAGATCAGGAACCAGAATGTCGTCGAGTGGCGGCCCTTGCGTGTACACGCGTACCTTAATTGTCGACCTCTACTGGCGGTAACTCTATAGTTACCGGGCCAGTTGGTTGGAATTGCACTCACTGTATTTGTACACTGGGACAATAGTGGTGGGATAATTGTGGCGGTCAGTACAACTTTCAAATACTATACGCCACTATTTAGCGTTATACTAGCCTCTGACATAGGTGCTACTAATCGTGGAAGAAGTAAGTTTTTACACGATTATTAGTCGCGCAATTGCATTATCGACAGGTAACGTACGTATACGTTTACTACGTTCATAACTACTGTTAGTTTGTCATGCTAGTGCCCACGGCGCTCACTAGTTCAATGTTCTCAATGACACGATTGAAACTTGAGGAAATATTCGCGAGCATATACGAGTATGCATGTTTTTTCTGAATTACGACTATTCCGCCGCTTAAAGTTACGATATTCACAATCTTCATCATTCCCAGTGTTGAAGATAATCGTTTCAAGTGTTTTCAAGATTCACCCATATTTACTATTTATTGAGTATGAAACTTGTATTTTCTCAGTAAAGTTCAAGTCAAATTGCCAGATTTTCGTGTAGATTTTCACTGTTCGCGAGTAGAATTTGATGCGCTTAGGTTTTTGTAGCTTACTTGAAGTAATTTATTTGATGCCTCGTTTCATCTAATCGTTCATTTATGATTGCACTCTCTGGGTTTTCGATATAATGAAGCCCTTTCAGTACCCTATAGATGAAAAATTTTATCAAGTCGTATCAAGTGGTCGATCGTCTTGTCAACGATGGCTCTGCGAATAATTTTTCAATGCATTTCAGTGCATTTCACACCGAGTATTTTTCTGTATCTGTACCCACAACTTGTCATAGAACTCGAAGAACTTGTATATAATTCTAGTACTGTGACTAATTAAGCCCTCGATTAGTTATCCAACTACATCGCTTACCATCGCTCCCCATGAATGTAATCAATTGACTCAGCCATTTTATTTAATATTATCAGCCACTCTTGAGTGGTAGTTTCCTGCTAACCTGTATTGTTCCTTATCAATTTTTCTCATGTAATTAAAGTAATTCACCAAGGATGTTCATATAACACTGAAAAGTAAAGTATATTTTCCCTTGATTCTTCCTATCTTTGAGTCTTGCTCGTATCCCAGCTAGAGCCAACTTCTTTAAATTTGTTTTCCAATTTGACTTCATTCAAGAAAATTCACGTATTTCTTGTTGTTTTATTGGATCAATCTGACCGTGGGTGAGTCAATTTGACCCACTAATTTGTTCTCCCTTTTTGGGCGACGACAAGACTCGTAGATGAAGAGTTTCCGAAATTTTCATTTTCACTTTTAATTCTAGCTCTGAAATCCAGAGTTCTGTCTCTCGTATAGAAAAATCTGCCAGTTTCCTGCCAATCTATACCGTCTAAAACTCTGTCTCTGAACTCTGCGGTACCTGTCACCTGCAGGCTGTGGTGAGCCATCTGTCTCTTGTTCTCTGTCTGCTCTGTGCCTCCCGTCTATTCGCTGCACTGTCTTTACATTGCACTGTCTATATATACTCTACACTCAGAAGAAGGAATGGGTCATCTTTTCCAAATAGTGACGCACTTTTTTACTCACAGCACTAATTAATAATTAATATAATTAATAATTAATAATCACAGGGAGCGGATAAATGTAGCTCTGATACGATTTTTTCCCCGAAAAAGTTGAGCCACGATTAACTTCATAAGTGCGATAAGTGCTTCGTTATTTGGACAAAGCTTCGCTCATTTCTCTGGGTACACATTGCACTGTCTACGTACTGTACACTACACTGGATTACTTTGCACTCTTATATAGCACTCCTATATAGCACTTGACTCTGAATTACTTACAGTACGAAATACCAGTTTCATATTGATCGCGCAGTTCCTTCTAGAGCAGCAAATGTTCTAATACAATATCACAATATCTACAATACAGCTTATTGATAGCCCCTAATTTTCTCATCTCTAGTTTGCTAGTGTTTCTTGAACTATAGCGTACATCCTTGACTATGTTCATTGCCATTGCCTTTATAAACCGTCCTCGCACAACCTACCTTTGAAAGAATTAAATCGCACAACCTACCGTTGTTGCATTTATTCTTTAAGTAATCCTCAATACCTCAATAGATCTAACATACCGCTAAACTGCACTAATTCCTTTAGTAAGCAAATATACCTCAATAGATCTAACATACCGTTAAACTGCACTAATTCCTATAGTAAGCAAATATACCTCAATAGATCTAACATACCGTTAAACTGCACCAATTCCTTTAGTAAGCATTTATATAAAATACCTCACCTAATCTCCTGCTTTGTAATACCTTCCTTCTGCTACGAGTTTTCTAGCACACCTGCCTTATCTCTGACGTATCGTAATTTTCTCTCAGTAATTATTAGTAATTAATCTCATAAATTATTTATAATTTATCTCAGTAATTATTTGGAAATAATCTCAGTAATTATCAGTGATTAATTTCAGTAATCATTAGTAAGTAATCTCAGAAATTATTAGTAATTAATCTCAATAATTATTAGCCCTAGTTATCCCTTCTTTACTAAGATGTGTTGATTAGAATTAATGATGGATCGGTTCTTATACTCATCCAGTGGATGAGCGCGTCTGAAAATCAGTTGAATTTACAGTGGATTTTTGATAAATGCAAAAAGTCTTGATATGATCTTCCGGTAACCTACTTCCGGTCCCACTCAATTTTCCATCGCCCTTGTAATGACAGCAAGCAGCGGTCGTGTGTTTTGTTTAAACGAAAATCTTTTAATATCTTTTTTCTTTTAGCGACTCTTTTCTTTAAAAAATTTTTTAGCGACACGCTAAATGATCTGATTTTTTTTTTCCTAAATATTCTTCTGATGATTTTTTCATATTTTCATAGATATTAAATCATTGTTCATTCGCCTTGTACATTACATAATTTGATCAGAAAGCCAATTACGGTCCTAGCTCGTTTCACAACTAATGAAGTATGTGATCATTTATTTAAACCTTGAAATATAAATTAAGCTGCACTTTAATATCATCTTGTTAATATTAAGGAATTACAATCAGTGCAAGTGAGCACTAATGCAACCAATATTTCTTTGCTATATTTTGAAGGTTACATGTACTTGTCAGTTATATTTATCACACATTGAGAATATATGCAATAATGCATCAGGGTTGAAATTCTGTTTCTTCGGCATTTTTTAACTCGATTTTTAGCCGCAACTATGAATTCAACTAATTTCAATCTGATCGACCATCCTTGCAAAAAGCATATTTCATTTGGCTTTGCATGTTATCCCCCACATTCTATCGTATAAACCAGTTCTTTTAACAATGTTGAAACTAAAGTGTAAATACTGTCATTCCTGCACAGCATATGTTAAACGCCACCTGTTATAACACCTATGCTCGAATTTAATTAACGCTCGTTACATATCATAAGCGAAGCTTAGTTTTTATGAAATTCTGTAGTTTGTCTCATCTGAATACTTTTTGGTCCTATGATGGGACTAATAGTCAAAATTTCTATTATCCTAGAATCGTATAGGTCTCATTAGTTCCTCTTCGAAAACAAAAATAATTTAATTTTTATAATTTCACGTCGATTTGATTTCCTTATTTTGTTCGTGTGTACGTGCTGTGTAAGTCAGTAGTTTTTATTTTGTTTTATGAGTAAAAAAATTAATTCCCGTTAATTAAAATCAAAATTATTTCCCTTTGAACAATTTTTCCCTCAGGAAATAAAAAAATTACACCATTGATTGTATGATTCTGAGACCGTAAATTCTATATATGTTCATTAGATTTCCTTGTAAGAGAGCATCGACTTGAAACTCTTGTACCAATTCTTAAACGTTTAGATTTTTCTCTAAGTTTCGCTTCGTAAAACTTCAACGATAAATCAACTTGCTCATCAACTTGAGGAAGACACCAATTCCGAACATTTGTGTTTTACGAATTATTTTTCCTAATTTAAGATGGCGTGTATAGTATGCCAGCTCGGTAGCGCTCAATTCAACGGGTTGTTTTAATTTAAACTCAATCCTAAAGTCTGAACATCGCTCTAAGTTCATGAGCCGCGTCTCAGCTAGGCAAGAAAAATGGCCAGGTTTAGCCAGGCAATTCACAGGATCAGCTGTTTTAATCCAGCTCTTAATTTTCCTGCCTGATTGTGGGTCTTAAAAACGATAATCGTAGCCCGTCCGCACCTGCGGCGATCCCTTCCACGTTTCTTGCTTCGCTGACACCCTCACATGAAAAACGTGATTTTGAATTAAGAGGCTGCGGGTATCTCCTTTTATTCTTATTGCAAGGACCCCCAACGCATCCGTTTTGTGGAATTCATCTCATTTGCAATGTTAGAGTCTCTCGTGATTATTTTTGAAGTAACTCCCTCGATCGGCCCGTTCGTGTCATAGGAAGCCGCACATATTCGTACTGTAGATGTGTGCAGCTAACACTTATGTCAGTAGGGTTTGGATACAATGAATATCCTAACCTTAAATTAGAAGGCTTAGAATGTCCTACGTGATGTAAGTAGGTTTCGAATATTACCATGCACGTAAAATCGGTAGGTTTTAATCGACAGCGTATTGATATTTTCACGTATTGCACTCAAACACAAACGTATCGAAAGCAATATTGATCTCAATGTTATTTTTGGTCATAATTAACGATGCTTCTAACTGAAAACCTTTTTCTGAATAATAAAGTTTCTATTTATTTTTACCCACTGTTAGCCTTCAAAATTCCTGGCTCCTTTCGTCTTCAATACTCTCGATAACAGTTGATTTTATGACTTTCAGGTTTATAAAGTAGATCAAAGTTTTCAGCGTGCTGTTGTGATGCCCCTAATTGAGTTATTCTTTGAGTTATTCGACCAATTGGTTTTTATATATGATCAAATAACGAGAATATAAAGTAATAAATGAAGCCCTTAGGAGCATGAGTTAAAAATTTGTACACTCTTTGTTTTCTTAAATTCCGACATTTTCATACTATTTGTTCTTATGGCTTTCCTAACTTTAGTTCAGAAGTAATTGGAACTTCCGAAAAGAGTTGAGAGTTCTTTTTTTTCGTCGCAGAATTTTTTTATCCGACGTTCGCCTTGTCAATAAATTTACAAGGTTCAAATTTATCCTCATCCAACGAGCTAGCTATTTTTTATTATCGGATTCCGATTTTGTGAATTATATCAACCCATGCATAATTCTAAGGTTAAAAAAAATCACACTTTTCACAGGACAACTTGACAATTCGCTGAAATGTTCAGTCTCACACCCTCAAGTTAGTTGCTTACTCCGTCCAGCAGAAAATTTTTTTGTGGGAAATCTTACCTCATATTTTATTTTAGAATTTACGTAATATTATAAGGTAATGAGGTTTCATTTCTTGAGGCACACCACGGGCAATTATTCCCAATTTACATCTTCTATCCTCCTTTCCCCAGTTCCCCTCTCACTCAATTATGTATTTTTTATGACAAGCTCCGCGCGTTATACTTGTAATGACTTTACTCGTTTTGTTTTAGCTTGTCTTCCAGCCAACTAAATATCCCTCTTAGTATCACTTTATTCTCTAACCTCCTCCTCTTCTTCCATGGCTATCCATATATTATGCTCCGTGTGTCACGCTTCGCACCTCCATGCGTAAAACTGACACTGCTTTTCTCGTGCCGTCTTCCCCGAGCAGAAGATGCACGTGTACAAGAAGACCCTACAGGCGCTCATCTACCCCATCAGCTCGACGACCCCTCATAACTTCGCCCCCTGGACTGCGACATCTCCCACTTATTGCTATGAGTGCGAAGGCTTGCTTTGGGGCATCGCCAGACAAGGCGTGCGATGTAACGAATGCGGCGTCAAATGCCACGAGAAATGCAAGGATCTTCTCAACGCTGACTGTCTGCAAAGTGAGTAATCTTTGTTCTTCATGTGCGTACGTAAATTATTTCCTCAGATTATGCAACGAACATTCTAATATTGTGTTCCCTTGAACCAAGTTATACTTCATGCAGAGTGTACGGTATATAAGTATTAGTGTTAGCCTCTTATTACTAAAGCAACTCGAATAATTTCCACCTCATCTGTGCTCTTCCAAGTCAATAGTTATTGATTATGTAATTGCAACCAGCAAATTTATTTTCTCCATTAGCATTTCTATCATCTTTGATCTTCAGCATTTCCTTTTTGTGTGGTCTCATCTTGTTACTTATTCATATATTATTTTATTTCACTTTTTTGTTCTCTTAACGCTTGGCCATCTAGCGTAAATAGGCAGAAGTCTTCTAGTCAAACCTGATCTAAATTAAATTGCTGCGAAGCTAAGTTCTGAAGTTCTGACTTGGCTAAACTCGCTTGTACCCAGTCAAAATTAGAAGCGGTATAGGCGTTCATGGTAGAGTCGAGGTATTTTCACTGAAGCGTTGCGGTTTAATAATACGCACAGCTATTCGCTTTATATCTTGAATATTTTAGGCAAACTAAAAAAAATTACGTGCCTCATCTCCACGTTCGCGTAAATGAGGCACTAGTTCATTATACGCACGATTCTGTTTAGGCGAATAATTAAATACGCGAGTTACTCCAGAATCTCGCTACTACTTTTACGATTTACTGATAAATTTCTTTCTACCTACACTATAGTAACTAGGTGATCAAATTGTAATCAAGTTCTATTTATTTATTCTACTTTCTTGTTGCCCGAGTTACGTTGATGATCTGTTATCTATACTTACGTGAGTTCCTAAATACGCGTGTTAGTGAATAATTTGTTTGTACGTGAAATAGTTGCGCAATTGTAAATGTATACTCTATTGAATAAAAACGTGAGTTGCATTCATTCGGTTTCATCGGTTTCGTAGTTCATGAATTCTCAAGTGTTAACATGGCCGTCAGTTTTCAATAATTCCATGACCACTAGAATTATCTTTCTAAACATTGTTCATTTCAAACATTTCTCATATAAAAATTATTAAGTTTTCAATGTAATAAGTAGTAAACATTATTTATATTTATCATATTGTCATTAGGCTCCCACCACTAAAGCTTTTCTTAATTAATATTAGACTATAATATATGAAATATTTGTCTCTGACAGATACACGCGTGTAGGAAACCAAGCAATAAATTAAACATGTATAGGCATGGCTTCACCATATCTATCATGTAATCCAAAACCCTTGTTAGTTTAATTGATAGGTAAATTCATTCAATGCACTCTGATTCTCACGTCCCTTGTTCTCTGTACATTTCTCCCCATTTGCATGGTATATCTTCACTACATGGGCTCAGAGATTTCTTGCCATTTTGCACTGTGCTAAACTCTTCGTTTTCGATTTGTTGTGTCTGTCGTGCAGCGGCGCAAAGTAAGTACTTGCTGCAGCCATCTTGTCCTGTATAGCACATTATATCATCTGATTCATCCATGATCCCCTTATGCACAAGCACACGATCGTCTACTAACCTTCAATAAAAAGTTCAATGATTTATTAATACCGTTTCAAGCTGCGCTAAGATCGTAGGCGAGCTATTAAGCGTCATCTATAATTAATAAACGCGTCCTATCACCTCGATTTCCATTCGAATATCACGCCTCCTGGATATCGATTTCTAATATCGCGTGACATCGAAATCCATCGAGTATCGCGAGTATATTCGTAATATGCAGACGATCGTGTGTGGATGGCAATATCAACAGTGCATTTAACGACTTACTGTAAATAATCCTCCTCGCAATCCATAGATCATTGCATTAAATATCCTATAAATTAAACGCTGTATGTATATATAGAACGATTTTGATTTTGTTTCACATTCGGCATTGCTCCTGTCGACATGTGAATAAGTATTCATAATTACTGAAACAAATGATATATTACAGCTATTGTTGAAGTGTTATCATATTGATTTGTTACAAGCGTTGACGGTAGCGATGCTTAATATGAGCTTGGATGACTTGAATATTTTTCAAGACTACTTCTTTAATTTACATGTAATGACGCAGAATGTCCTTTGTCAGTGCAACTCCATGTTTACCTAACTTTGTTGAAATAGTTTTAGTGTTGTTCGTAGGCGTTAATTAAGTAAAGTTTGCATTAAGGGTAAACTTCAAGAGACCTGCAGCCGTTCATCCTTTAGACATATTTGATCCAACCACTCCTAACCCGAAATTGTTCGTGATATATAGCACGTTGTATCCTTGTATTTGACTGTTATTTCATACTTTATTTGCATTTGTCAAGAGTCAATACAGTTTGAGCATTCGACTTATTTTCGTATATTTGAATCACATTTATTTCTAGAGCAATTTTTTTCACTTCGGCTCCAGCCGATAGGAAAACTTTGACTGCCACCTCAACACAATTGATCATTTTTCTCGTGGAACATACGTCACTTCTGAGTCAATTGATCATCCTTAAGAATTTCGATATTCTTAATTATGAGTTTGCATTGGAATTTACTTGTAATGCAGAGGGCTCATTTCATGAGTACGGATACGATATCCTGGACAGGGTTATTCAGAAGCGGATCATATAAAAAATTATTTTTTTAGCTGTTCACATCTCGTCGAAAGTTCCGAGCCAAAGGTTTCATGTTTATTTACCATCATATAAGGATTTTGAAGGGTCCTCTGAAGGATCCTCTTCATATATATGAAGAGGATGAAGCCTGAAAATCTATTTGTCAATGAATATTTTACTAAAATGCGTGCTGCTCTCCTATTCAAGCTAAGAATTCTAAAGAGATCAAACAATTCCATCGATCGAAAGAGTGCATGTATGCACTGCATGGACACGTTTGCGCCAAGACTATGTTTCACAAATTCGAGGAGTCTCTGGCGTTTCAAATGCTTGATACCTTTTAGAGCCATCATATTATCCATAATATTCACAACTTCACAACGATGGCCGAAATTACTTATCCTGAAGTGTCTTCAGGAATTTTTTTTTTTTTGTGGCTGATATTCCTAACATCAATTGGGAAATCTACGACTGTGATGCCTTTTAAGAAATCTTTTTCACTTGTTTGTGTTATTATTATAGGAGTATACGGAAAATTTTGATCAATTCATGATATTCCTCAGCACAGTGAAATTTGAATTTACTCTCATTTTAGGAAGGGAAAGCTGATTCAGTCCAAATTCCTATCAATTGTTTAGTATTACTGGTTTTTCTAGGTATAGCATTTATCGCAACAGCCGTGGGGGAGATATAACGGCTTACTTAGACCAGTTCGGCGCTAGGGTATATAATGAGTTCACTTGGGTAAAAAGTGAATATGAACTCTTGAATCTTTTTGTCAGCTTACCTACTTTGGAGCTCTCTATATATCGTGTTTATAGGCCACTCTCTAACAGTATACGAACCTTCAATGAGTTATTCACAGTCGAGGTTCTTTCAAAAATAAAGGGAACTAGTAGGTCAATCCTTTGTGGGGACTTCAATATATTTCTATACAACCCTCTGATTTTATGCTCAGCTAAGAACTTTATTAATGACATGCTGTGTAGTAATTTTTGTCCAGTCATAACTAAACCTACCAGAATCTCTCCCCGAAATCCCATTACCCCATACTCATTACTGGATCACATTTGGTGCAACTTTTCCGATAGATCCAATCCCGAATCAGCTATAATTGACTGTGACTTGTCTGATCACTTGATGACGTTCTTTTATTTGAAACTGGTTTCTCGTTCGCTCCACCTCTGAGAAAAGTTTGCTTAATTAATGATCGCAATATTCAAAAGTTTAAGGAGAAAATGCGATTTTTCCCATCGACTTTTTTGTCAAGTATTAATGAACCCAACTCAGCAATGCACTCTTTTATTTCCGAGCTTTCCAAAATTTATAACGAATCTTTTCCTGTGAAGTTTCTATCTGTAAGAAAAGAGAGGCCTCCTTGGTTAACTGCTGAGATTAAGTCTGTCATCAGGCCGAAACATAAACTTCTGAAGCTTTCCCGTTCTGGCGTCATTCTTCGTCGATCGTACACTACCTATCGGAATGTCCTAAACACCCTAATTAGGACTGTTAAGAGGCTATACTACTCGGCTACAATTATGCGAGAGTCAGATGATTCAAGGATTTTATGGAAAATTGTTAACACCTTGACTGGGAAAAATTGAATTGAATTAAAAAATTCAAACCGAATTCAATGCTTATTTTATCTCTGTTGCTGATGACACTACTATCAACCTAGGACCTGTGAACTACGATATGACGTATTACATTCATTTCTGTGAGGCATCCTGCTTCCTTTTCCTGACTTCTGAACTTGAAATAAAAAATATCTTGCGATTGTGCCACGGCAAGCGACTTCATATCGATGACATTCAGCCGAGAATAGCGTGTCTCATATATATCTGCTGACATCGATAGCTCCAGTTTTATACATTTTTAATTTATGCATGTCCACGGGAATGTAACCTGATTCATATTGAAAGGTGCTCATGTTATACCCATTTTTAAATCTGGTGATCCTTTTAAAACTGTAATGATCGTCCAATATCAACCTTGCCTTTTCTTTATAAAGTTTTTGAGAAAACTCTAAATTCCAGACTCACTAATTTTTTAGACCAGATTTTCAATAATATAAGTTAATCCGTTTGGTTTTCGTAGGTGTACTTACACGACAACGGCCATATTTTAGCTAGTTCAAGACCTCCTTAGGACGTATCAATCCAAATATTATTGTGTTGCTCTTTTTCTAGACATACAAAAGGCTTTTCACTTTGTAGGGAATTCCCGCACTAATTTCCCTTTGAAGCGTATTACTGTAGTATATAGTCATTAGAAATCTAAAATTTATGAGTTGTGCGCTTTTCTATGTGATAACCGTCTTTTTTAATCTGCGTTCACCTCTCGTGTTCCTCGACATTCCCATAACACCAGGGGCATTCGCTTTAACTTACTCCCGGTTCGGTTAGAAATTGAAAAAACAACATAGTTTTTTATTGTGTGAAATATTTTAATGGATTGTCTGATGATTTCAAAATAGATTGTTCTAAATTCCTTTAAAAATCAAATTCCGCGATTTTATTATTACCGAACATTAATTTACCTTCGAATATCAATCATGTGAGATTATAGTAATTTGACACGCTGCTTTCAATTACATCCTATTTTTCTGTGTAATGCTGCTTATGTCTTAGATGGGCTTGCTTTTGGTGACCTGCTATTATCAGTTTTCTTGAGGTTTCTGTAATGGATGTGTGTTATTTTGAGATACCTTCTGTCGTTCTTATCACTATCGTATTATCATTCGAATGGGGTTAAAAGACCACCTTGTAGACTGCAAAGCTTTATTTAGCTTAATAAGATTCACTCGGAAGCTTTTGCTGTTTTATTTCGTGTTTTTCTCTTCTATATTGCATTGTATGCTACTGTGTGTGAGTAAACTATAAACATTAAGTTATATGCCTAAAATTTGTCAGGGATCACGCTCATACCTAATAGTCACATTTCCTATCCCCGCTTTGCCAAAGAATGCAACCTACCTTTTCCTTCCCCTTCAGTCTTTCACAATAGTGCCCAGTGTTTTATATTTTTCATCTGCCTTTGAAATTCCTTAGTAAATTCTTATGTAATATTGAACTTTGATAAATGAGTGAAGTAGGATCTAGTGCTTTAAATTAACAAACATTGTGATGCTGCAATATTCGCCTATAATTACTACGACCCCATCAAGTTCATATGATGCAAAAAGCATGTTTTTTTTTCAAGTTCTACTGTTTAATTTTGAATTGCTACGTGTGGATCTAATAATCTTTTCGATTTTAGAGGCAATGTGCAACAATGGCATAGGGCTTTTTCACATTTTCTCGCGCGCGAGAGATTTTAAGTTTGAATGATAACCATCACTTTCTCTTCTTTTCTCATTAGGATATTAGATATTATTGAAACATTTTTGAGAGGCTCCCTAGTTAAACAAAGCGTAAATTACTTTAGAACAACTTTTCGAGTGATGGATTTCGATTGCTATTTATGCACCAATTTCAATAGTCATTTCATGCAATTATCGCGTCGAAGTCTACGCTATTGATTCATAGGGTATTTAGCATACAAGGCAAACATAACGTTTTATTGACTGATGTAAATTTAAACTGCGATTTATAACCTTTAATTTACCATCACCGTGTTACGCAAAGCGAGATACTTCTGCAACAATGCAAACATTGTTATTCATTTAGTAGTGAACTGTTGTGTGTAGAAAAGACTTTCGTTCCTCTAGTTTGCTCAGATTTTAATTAGAAGTATCAGATTGTGACAACGCTGAGAGATATTGTAATTTGATACATACAGCAGTCCACTTGGAAGAATGGGCGAGAATATTGTGCACCTGTTGATTCTTCCAATGAATGAAGCATGTTTTTTTGTTTGACTTGTCTTGTACATGCCTCTTCTAGTTAACCGTCATTTAAGGAGATTATACCAGGTTCAAGCCATTAATTAAGTTTAATTTATTTGCTTATAAATTTGTGCACATATGGACTCTTGTAGCTGTTAAATTAATAGCTCATATTCACTTATTGTATCTTCAGGTCGGCGATGATTTCATTCATAAACTTGAGTTGAATGAAACCATGAATGAAAGTTGGCTTGAGTTGAAGCCTGGGTTGTAATCTCGTTGGTTTCCCCCCCCGGCCTTTCCATATTTTGTCTATCAAACAAATTGATTTTTGTGCATATTTATGTTTAATGTGGTATTGTTTTTACTAATTTTTAGTAATTCGCTAAATAGTTATCTGAAATAATATCGACTGCTTAATTACCTTTTGAATATTAAAATTTAATCCTCCGGCTCGAATCTCGAGCCCGGATTTTTTCGGAGAAATTCATCTTCTAATCACTCAAAGAACTTTAAACGCCCTCCACCACGAGTAATTGACCAAAAATTCTTTAACTACATACTGAAAACTCCCCGCTGTATTACTGCAGTAAACTCACCTGTCTGCTTACCCCTATTTCCCATTAATTTTTATTAATGCCGACGTGATTTTAGCTGGCAAGTTTGTTGAAGGGCTCTAAAGTGGCCGCCTGGTAAACTCGCTTTCCACTTCGCGGGATTTTCTTCACGAAGTATTGCGCTTCCATAAACACGATGCCGGCTTGTGCTTGGATATTTAGAGCGGCCAAGAGGAAAATTGCGGCATCGTTTACGTTAAGAATCGAGGATGCGAGTTGCTGAAAGATAAGCTTGTCTTCCCGAGAGTTGAGTGCAAGCTGAAGCCAGGCTTTCTTGCTCTGGACGCTGCCAGCTTGTTTAAATTGAAATTCAACTAAAGTTTTTAGTTTGTAGTCGAAGAAAGTTTAGAATCTCTTGAAGTTTCTTTAATATAGTTTTGTGTTGATTTTTTACTTTTTAGGTACTTCCATAATATGGAATAAAATTAGTACATCACATCGTGCATATAATACAATTATTTGTAAAATTTTCTGTACCCCTCATAATAGTTTCAGCTTAATAATTACCTTGATTGAATTGATATTCTTCAGCTAGTTAGCTTTCATTCGTTCTTAATCTCAGCCTGTTGACCTACTGATCTTATTCTTGTCAATAGATTCAACGTTGGTCCTCAACCGTTCCTTGTTTGTATAGTCTACGAGGTTTCGTCGATATTCTTAATACGCCAAATTTACCCCATTTTTAGAAGAGTTGAACCTAAACGGTTTACATCTTGAGTTCAAGTTCCTTCTCTTTGGCTTCTTCAGTGTCTCTCATCTGAGTATTGGTCGCTGTCATGCGTCGAAATTCTCAAGCCCTGTGCAATCATGTATCGAAATTTCTGTTTTCTCAGAGCACGTCTTAATCGGAAAACTATTTGAGTTCCTCCTGAAAAGTCTTTTTCTATTCTCCATCTGTGACAGTTTTTTTAATATTTTTTGTGACAGCTTCTATTGTGCTAACCGAATGACGTTGTCATGCCTTGTGTTGCAGGAGCTGCAGAGAAGAGTTCCAAGCACGGGGCTGAAGACCAAACCAACATTATACTGATGATATGTGTTGCCTTGTGTTGCAGGAGCTGCAGAGAAGAGTTCCAAGCACGGGGCCAAAGACCAAACCAATATTATACTGATGATATGTGTTGCCTTGTGTTGCAGGAGCTGCAGAGAAGAGTTCCAAACACGGGGCTGAGGACAAAACCAACAACATCATCGCAGCCATGAAAGACCGGATGAAGAAGAGGGAAAGAGAGAGACCGGAAATTTTCGAGCTCATAAGGTAACGCAACGGCGCGCTGATCTCTTGCAACCGCTCGGGGTTTTAAGCAAGTAACACTGCGGTATTTTACCCTCTATACTAAAAGGGGTAAACAACAATAAAAAGAAAAGGTGAAGGGTCCTCTTATACTGAAGGGTAATGCAAGGGTCAACCATGCCTGATCTATAATTTTTAATAACTGACAATGTGTGCGTTTGCTAATGGGGTGTGTTGTTGAGTTTTCCAGATTTTAAAGTTATTTTGTGCAATTTGTGTGCAAAACTGGTACAGGGTAAGGATGACTAATTTCGAATAGTGATGCGGGACTTCCCTATCTCATGTTGACCTCGCTTGCAACGCAATTTTAGGCGAATGTGCTAGAACTTTATCTCAAGTATGTTAATGAACTCATTATTGTTGGATAATTCCAAGGCTGACACTTCAACCTTTGTCAGGCTGAATTATTTTACGTTACTATTGTAGTACAGTTGTACATTGGCCTACGGTGGTTACAGTTGTACCTGATCCGAAAGGCGAAGGTCAAGAGCTTCTGTCGCGACTGAGTTGGACTTTCTTCTTTAAATGACCTTTCAAATCATTCAGTGTTAAACAGAAAGCCGCAAAAATACTTCGGAAAAGAAATACTTCGGTAACCGAAAGAAATACGGTAAAACTCTTATTTTAAGATCTTTAAATAAGTTCTCTTACTTACATCGGATCTTTCCGATGACTGTCTGATAGTCTGGAACATTTTATAAAATAAGATTATTTTACCAATTGATGTGCACATATAGACTCCAACAGTTGTGCCTCATCCTAGCTTCTTTGCCTCAGAATTTATTATTTATTACGCATAAGTTATTCTCATGTATTCCTGGGTGATAGGAATGTTTTCTCAGTCGATTTGTGGAGTATAAAGCTTCTACTTAATGCCATAGAAACTCTGGGTCGCGGAATAATTGGGCTACTTCCCTGCATTAAAAATCCGATTTTCATGTTAGCTGTGCAAGCCAATGAAATGAGACGTCTTTCCTACTTATTGAATTTATATCACCGCCTATAACGAAGCGCTGACTCTAATCTCTAATTAATAAATTTATGTAGTAAATTTAGTCGAATCCTAACTAGTGTATTTCATCTCATTGCCTACGATAAAGTATTATATATGGCTCGTTGGCGCAGAATTCTATCAGCCATGATCGATCCTAAAGTCGATTTTACTGAAAGCATATGCGTTTATTCTATAGGTAGGAACTCACGTTTCTTTTTCTTGGTTCATTTAATTTAGCCTCAAGGAAGAGATTTACGTATTTTCAAGTCCCCCCCCCCCTAGCTAGTGGCCGCTTCATGCATCTCCCTAAATGCAGGGATCGCTGTAATGCTTTTTCGTTAAAATAGATTACCTTTAAGACGACAATAATGTCCCGGTAAATTCGAAGATAGAATGTGCGATGGTAGGCTCTGCCGAATATTCGTATCCCTGAAAGAATTTTACATTTTGGTCGCTTTTTATAGGTAACTTGTTGAAAGTTGTCTTCATTTTACTTAGGGTAACTATTTAAACATTACTGCATAAAACCCGCTGCAATGAAAGAATCTGCTATGAGTTCTTCATATATAATTGGCATTTGTACTTTGTAGTTTGTAGTAGCATTCATTTAATAATGACCGATCCCACATATACACATCGTAAGCCGGTAACATATCTTCTGTAATACCTCTCAGTTGTAGGAAGTAGGCCACGCCATCTTTCTCAAGTTGATCTTAAATTTTATTCAATTCTGGTAGCCATTTGTTTTAAATATAATTTTTAAATTAAATCGTTTGATGCAGCGATCGAAGAGTTTGTCGCTCATGTTTTACTATAGGATCATACACATTCCACTCCTGTTCAGATTATACATTTAATTACGTGCTGCTTCAATCAGAGCAATCTATTTCAAGTTGCGTCGATTAATTGTCTCAGTGTAGGCGTTTCAGTTCAATTAATTTCCATTTCCGAGCTCGTCACCTCGTTGAGGAACGCCGCTTTCCCCAGTCACATTTTCGGGCTCTTGTCCGAAGTTTTTGGGACCAATTAGCGAGGGGAGGCGAGGGCGGCGAGGGGATGTGAATTGCTTCACAGCTCATTTTTAAAGCTGCACCACAAATTCAATCAACAACGATGAGCTCTGTCTCTGGTAAACATAAGATTTTATGAAGCTCTATCTCAGCAAGGACTCGTATGGCTCTCGAGAGAACACGAACGTAACGGTACGTTGGTCGAATTTCTCCAGATGTATTCTTCACTTTGTGTGTTTTTGTGCTTCACTCAATTCACAGAGAATAAAATAATTCCGTTATTACATTCACTGGGGAGACTGCGTGCAAATAATAAACAAATGAATATCAAACACGTAAATTTCTCAGCGTTTCAGGTGAGGAAATACGAAGTTTGTCATTACATCGGAAAAGACTTGAAATGTAACTAATTTAATTATTTGTTGTATTTTCACGAAAATTGCCAATTAAATTAGTGCCCCAAATGTTATTCCTGTTACTTTAAGCTATGAAGAAGGAAAATTCGTTCTGATTAAAGTCATAATATTTGTATTGTAATGATTCAAGTTTAGATATTGAAGGAAAGAACGCGGCTGTTCCTTACATTATACATATAATTGATTGTTGAGGACTGTTGCTTCTATTAAGCAGTCTTTCCTTGATGCTTTCTACTTCCTCTTACTTTGTTTGTATTGTTTCCACACTAAAATTGTAGAGCTTGAAGCCTCCTTGCTGAACGTTTGCTCAATGATGTTGAACTGGAATTATCAGCTCTAATTTTAGACTCGCAACATTTCTCGGCCATCTTTGCATGCCGAGAACGATAAGGAAGTTTCCTATAATAATTCTCACTTATAAATAGTGTCACTTTTCGTCACCAACTGCCCGAAAATGAAGTCTCGATACTGCGCGCCTGAATCAAATTTCCATTGTTTTTAAATTACACTGTTGTACTAACACCCTAAAATTCACCTTTGGTGAGTAAAATTTGGCGGGCGAAATGAACAGATTTTACCTTGTTTGTAATTCACGTTGTTATCTTGAGTTTAATTTACATAATTTAAACCGCGAATCTTAGAAAGCTCGGCCAAATTTTAGTCCCATGCTCACCGTGTTTATATGCAACTTTACAAACAAGATTGTTATAAAGTTTCTAGTGTTTTAATGATTCAAGCTTCAACTTTCTAACTTCAACATTCTAACATTCAACTTATAATTCTAACTCAAGATTCTCTTATTGTCTCTCTGTTTCCCGTGAACTTTGCGTAGATTAAATGATACGCTTGCTCGCGTGGTCTTTCTCGACGACTGCCTCGTATAACGTCGCTGTTGCTACGAGCAATTATATAGTAGTAAAGAGCTTTCCGTGCTGTTGCGTTAGTTCATTTACCGGCCCGCTGGCCGCGGTCTCTCACTATACAAATGCTACCTACAACGTTGGCTTTTATTTTGGTTAATAGAGCTATAAGCTCTTGGTGCCCATGTGCTGCAGAAAATAAAATTGATATCAACAGGGGCGATTTATACGGGCAGTTTGATTGATCTCTCTCCACAGTCTCTGACATTCCCTTGCAGTCTTTTTTGTGTTTTTAACTACGTACATTGATCGGTAATCATACTGACTGTTTCAAATCTAAGAACGCCAGTCAATGCCGGCCTCTTCTTTGTAAGATAAACGCTGTTTGTGAAGCACGTATTCAGATGAAGACAGTTTTCTTGTATGCGCACAAAGTTTTTGTTATAAGTCAATTATTCATTCATTGTTGAACAATTCTTTTCGGCAACGTTCTCGAAATTCTTTCCTATCGGTTGGAGGGCAGAAGCTGCGTATAGACATGCACTCTTGCGATTTTTATCCTTCTTTATTTTTTGAGCTGAACTGATGTGCCCGATAAAGCCGTGAACCTGATGCCTATGATAGCCGAAGAGGTGTTAGATTCCCGCCTCCCGCTGCAAAAATCTGCAGTTTCCATTCCTGAATCTGGAATTGTGTGCGGAATTGGCGCGATGCGGCGGAAGATTTTGCCCCGCGGGCACGCGAAAAAAATGCTGAATTCAGAGAAAAACTTTTTGTATGGCTTCGAAATGTTAAACAAAATTCGTGTAGCGATGTACCTGAATTTACTTTTGACTAAATTAGTATTCATATGAATAAATTAACTTAAAATATGTTTGCGTTAATGATCAAATACTTTTAATTATGTGCTGTTTAAGTTTTTGAAATCGTTGATAATGCAAATATTGTTGATGATGATAAACCTATGATATTCATGATCAACGTCATGAAAAGTTTTTCGAAATATTTTATCTTGTATAAAAATGAAAACGAAGAAAAAATGCAAATTAAACGCATGCAATAGTCCGGTATTTCCATGAATTACGACGGAAATTTTATTGCGTTGAAAATTTTATCTTCTGTCGCCATGAAAGATTGCTAAATAGGTCTAGACAGTGGACACTTACTATCATGATTACCACGTTACCTTAATAAATTCTTAGTTTTACCTAATCCAAACATTCCCAGTTGTCGATGATTAAAAAAAATAACGGTTTGTTTTTTTCATCTCATTAGTCTGAGTTCAAATTCTGTTCACACACTCATTAAAGATGGTTATATGTTGACTCTAACGCCTTCTAATCTCACTCACTAACAATTCACACGTTTAAAATTATAAATTTGTCATCCATTACGCGTATCAGATTATGGCTTAGCCTCTCACTACGTTTTTCAAGAATGGCTTAAAGCCACTCTTTCCGCGCTTCAAGTTATGACTCGCAGCATACCTTTACGCGTACAAATCCAGCATCCTGCTGACACGCAGCATCCTTATACTGACACGCAGCATCCTCATACTGACACGCAGTATCATACTGACACGCAGCATCCTCATACTGACACGCAGTATCATACTGACACGCAGTATCCTCATACTGACACGTAGCATCCTCATACTGACACGTAGTATCCTCATACTGACATGTAATTCAATCAAGATGTGTGCTTCATTTTCACGACAACATTTAAAACCGGTTGTAATTTCAACACTCCAATGCTTGTCGATGCATCTGCAGAATCAGTCTTTGCATGAGAACCTTGTGTTATTTTATATTCTCGAATCCTTGCAGAGCAGTTGGGAATCTTTTCAATTCTGCTTGGTGCTGCTTACTCTAGAAGTCAGCGATATCGCTGCCTGCTGGGAACCATTCCAGTTGGGACCGGAGCTCAATTACCGTCTATATTACCTCTCCCTTAGTGGCTGATTCACAAACGCCCCGGAATCCAGTTACGACAGTTTCCAGATTAATCTCCCGTCACTCTTTTGATTCTGCCGTGAGATTCCCACTAAAGATTCGTGCAATGCAGATTAAATCACAACGCAATCTATTCGAATTAGTTGGGTTTTCCTGTGAGCCGCTAGCTAGTAAATAATCCGTTTCTTGCGAGGCTCGACTCAATCGCATTGCTGGAGAAATTAATTGACTTCCTTTGCATTGCTCAGTTTTACTATGATTGTCTTCTAAGCCATCCCAGCATTCATAGATTTCAATTCAAATGCCGGGGTCAAATTGCATTAATTAGAGCCAACCAATTAGCCAATACTTTGGGAAATTTGGAGGCTTCATTACAATATTGCTGCACCGCCCATCGAAAGATGTCATTAAATTTAGTTCAATGCAGTTAACAAGGCTTTTAGTTATAACACCTCAACTCACATAATTTATAACATTGTTTGCACTATTTTTACCGCAGATAAAATTTCTAACTATGTGTAGGGTCTGATGATAGAGTTTTGAACGCATGTAGACCGTGCCTGCCATACGTTATAAGAGTGCCAGACGTCGCTTTGAGTCTGCGCTTCGTGATGGCATTAAGCGCTAACTTCGGTGCCTGGAAGCAAGTTTTCTCGCGCAATAACTTGTCGCAAATTAAAGCAGAGATCAAAATTTCTCGAGTCCTCATAAGGGCGTCGCTAACTATAACGAATGGCGAAAACTTAGAGCTTTGGCTTTTGAGCTCTCGATTTTTTTATTTAGTTATTATATTTATATGTCGTGTTTAGGGGATCATCTTAATTGGTGCGTTAAATTTGAAAAATCGGACCATCATGAAGTACTCATGGTAATCGTTCCTAGCCGTTTTTTTTCAACCCAGTAGATAACCAAGAAATGTGTAAACGCTAAATGTTAGCTAATCTCTCCACACATTTTATTTTAAAGCAATTCTTAGCTTAAATATCATTAGCCCCTTTTTCTCTCACTTATGAGAATCGTTTTCACAAAACGAGCGTCGATGTACGAAAAGTTCATCGGATCAATTTATATCTTCAGTTATGCGCCACTCTCATTCAAGTGCTTAATTTTCTTTGTGTTTCACTAACTACTGTGATTGTATCTACATTCTAGAATTTTTGAACTGACGATGGCGTTGGACTCCGAAACGTTTTCGATGAAGATAGGATAAATTTTCGTTTAATTTTCTTTGCTTTTAATTTTCCAGTGAATTTTTGATTGATGCAAACGAGTGACATTAATACTCAAAATTTGTTAATTGGGTTTATATGAGACGAACATGTGATTCTGTGTGTTGAGTAAACAATAGGGAGAAAAGAATTATCTCATTTTATGAAGAGTTGCGAAAGTTTACGTCTACTCTAACTTGCGTCAACCATTAAAACCGCAATTACGTGAAATTTCGCTTTTAATTTGAAAATTTGTGTACAATGAACCATTTTTTCCGAAAGAAAATGAGATGGATTCACTTCAGATCATTTTGCAGTTTTCTCGGTATAAATTCCCGCCAATTACGTGATTCGGTGGTTGTTCCTCTTGTAACTTCTGGTTAAATTGAGTCGCTCGTTGCCAATCAACCTGGACTGGCGCGACACGGGCTAGGAGGGATGGGCGGTTGGGGACGATCAGAGGGACGATGGACGATTAGAGGGGTGGTCAGAGGGATGATGGACTATCAGAGGGACGATGGACTATCAGCGGGATGGTCAGAGAAATGATGGACTATCAGCAGGATGGTCAGAGGGATGATGGACTATCAGCGGGATGGTCAGAGGGATGATGGACTATCAGAGGGACGATGGACGATCAGAGGGATGATGGACGATCAGCGGGCCGATGGACTATCAGAGTAACGATGGGCGATCAGAGGGACGATGGACGATCAGAGGGACGATGGACGATCAGAGGGACGATGGACGATCAGAGGGACGATGGACAATCAGAGGGACGACGGACAATCTGAGGGACGATCGATGGACGATGAGAGAAGATCAGGGGACGATAGACGACCAATCTGGAGCGACACGACACGTGTTCATGGGGATGGACGATCAAGAATCTAAAGTTCATGGTCACCTCATGATTGCGATCAGTAATGCTCGCACTGGAGATGCGTTCTCAAGATAAGCGTTAATTGCACGTTTTTATCAAGTGCTGCTTGAACTACAGCTGCTTGAAGGGAACAACTGTTGGTTGAGAGGAACAGCTGCTGGTTAAAGGGAACTGCTGGTTGAGGGGAACAACCGTGTCCACTTTTGCTCTGTTGTATTAATGCGTGACATTAGAGCAGAATTAAATTACGTGTAAATCATTTGTTCAATAATGGTTTGTGATTGAAGCCATTGTCATTATATTTATAGTGTTCATGTTAATTATTCAAATTGGTGCTGCCTCTTCAGGTAAATGTGGTTAAATTATGCCACATGCTTCGTCGGTATTGCAGATACGGCTACTCCACTACCTTGAATTGCATCGTTCTAATTTCATGTTTTTATTTATTACTTCAAAGGTTTCCAGTGTCATCGCACTGCTCGCCTGCTTAATACCAAAATCCTATAGTCCCTCCCTGTATTTGGTGACGAATCCGATGATGAAATTTAATACAATTTAATTCAATTGTCCCGCAGTGTTCCAGTGACGGTGGACTACAGCTTCTAGCTTCATTGTCTCATGTTTGATGTTGAACTATGTTTCTACTGGCCGCAGTTTACACCTTAATACCTTTTATTCAAAAACGTATTTCTGATATCAAGTTTCAGATTTTTGCTGTTCGTCAGTCTGAATACTGATTTTGTTATTCATATGTTTATTCAATCAATTATCAAGTAAGTTTTACCCGAGGAATTCAAATTTATATTAGGTTAGTTAATCTTTATAGAGAAGTAAAACAAACCGATAATAAATTTGGCGTATCGCTATATATGAACGATACGGAGATAAAGTTATCTAAATTCAAATTGTTTCCTTTTCTATGGATTTTTAACATTTTTTAGTAAATCCTTGGATCTGAAACCTGGTTTAATAAATATTTTTTTTCTTGTCGTACCGAAAATACTGAAAAAATAAATTGCTTTCTGAACTCGAATCAGGGTGGTGTGAATATAGGCCTCGCTGTAGGTCCGCGACGATGCTATCAACGTTGTGACAACGTTCTTCTAAACTCGGAGGAATATGCCAGACTTTATTGTTGACTTTCTCTCACGATCAAACTATTTCCAGGGTTCTTTTCCAGTAGAATCTGTCTAAATTTTTTTTTTTCATCATTCGCGAAAGATCTTCCTGTAAACTATTTTGTGTGTCGCTCCATTTCGAAAGATATTTTGAAAGTCACTCAATGTTTTGAGCAGGACTTTCAGCATTGTTAGATGCTGAAGTTACAGTTCGTGAATAATATTAATTTTTTCTGAACGGAACTTTGTTTTTTTAATAATTTAGTTATGTTTTCGGTAAAAATATCTTGTATTTTCCCCAATAATTCCGAATAATTTCGAAAAAAAATGTTTGTTTTATAAAGTATGTAGATATTCGCCATTTGCAGCTTTATAATCTTGATGTGAATCAACTCATTTTGAGACGCTCCTACAATAATACTTAGTCGAAATATTATTTAAGTGTTGATTCATGTTATCGTTATAGATAGTAGTGATGTTAATAGAAGTGATAGTAAAATAATTACCATTAAAATTTCCGTCATATTAAAATTTTCATCATAATCATACTATCGTAACTGTATTTTTTTTCGCGAAGGCAATAGGATGTTTCTAAATTCTATTGATCCCACAGGTAGCCCCCATGTTCCCATTACCATTACTCCCATTCCCATGTTCCGTTTGTAAAATAATTCTTACTGGAGTTTACCCATGGTGTTCCATAGAGCCGTGTTCGGAACGGACGAGAAGAACCACGTGTCTAACATGTCGTCGGTGCACCAGTCGGTGCTTGATGGCACCAGTAAATGGTCGGCCAAAATTGCCATCACAGGTTTGTCTGGCACCCGTTGCCGGATTCAATGTACCTTTTCTAATTGTCATCATTGTTCTTAAGCTTTGCCATGTGCCTGGAAGGGCTCAGTGTTGTTCTCGCCCTGACAACTGCAGCTGGAAAGCCTGTTAGAGTTCCCGAGGCGGCTTCAGTTGTTGTTGCTGCATGATGCGCATTTGACTTGAGATGTGTCTCTTCATGGCTGTTATGTTCTTGTCTTGCTCGTTGTTCTTTCACTTTACCTAATTTTGTACTTCTCGCTCATCCTGCTTCCTATTTCTAAAACGTTCTCTTTATTATAACAAACATTTATTTTGCCTGTTCTCCGAGACTCCTGTGTTTTTTTTTTTTTTTTTTTTTGTTAACTCAGTTCTCATTTCGTGTCATATTTTTGATAGTGCTTAAGTTTGATGCAAGATTTACATCTATAATTTATTCCTTTAGATTCACGATTACTACATCGACCGACAACGATCTGCCATATTAGAAAGATGGCCGCCTAGCAATTTTTCTCGAATTAGCCGTGCCGGTTCCGGCGTTTATGTGTCGCTCCTTCAGTGAATGTTTAGCTGCGAGCAAGTTTATTGTGTAGCTCAATGGTGTGCTTAGCTAGCTTCATATATATCCTATTTACTGACCGTGCCTTGCTGTTAACATTGCGATGCTTCTGCTGCCGCGTATTGCTTTCTTTTAACTTCACACAATTAATCGTCATTAAATGATATGAATCGTTACATATGATTGATTACATTTCATACTTTTCTTGTAGAACATTACCGCCTATTTTATCAGGCGGTAAAAATCACTGGTAATAATTTTGAAACTTGATACGAATAATCTCGAGGCTCTGACACAACACTCAGAATGCAGCAGCAGAGGCACAAGCTTTATTGGAAGACGACCGACACAGCCTACCACCACCAGCTTGTCCTCTTTGTCTGGCATCGCTATGTATTGCTTCTCTGTATTTCTTTGATGTTGCATTGTGTGCTCTCCATGTTTAACGTGTTTGTGCTTCTAACGTACACAGGATGACGTTCAAGACGGACCCTGATACTCACATAGACTCCCTCGAGCGCGCCGAAGATAACGTGCTCGAGGGAACGTCCCACTGGTCCTGCAAGATCGCCGTCGAAGGTCAGAGATTTCGTTGTTGCAAATTACTGTTGAATTTTAACGTGAGAGAAAACCGCCGACCACGGTTTGTTCTCGGGGGCGAGTTGGGCTTCCAGCACTCTTGCTGCACATGAGTGGGTCGGTACGACTCACATTAGTTTTTTAAAAGGCACTGCACTTTGATTAATAGTCTTCCTGACGTATATACTTTCGTTACAAGCCGAATTATATTCAGTCATTTTTCATGTTTTCTTCAGTCAGCCAGCCAATGAAGAACAACAATTTATATTCAAAAATGAGTCATGGAGTGAAAATGGGACTGGAGGTGCTACGTTTTTGACCGATCTCAAGTGATCGGTCAAGTTTTGACCGATCTTGACCCGTATTGAACTGAGGGAAGTTTGTACCGTGTGGCTGTTACTTGGTTTGTCTTGGGGGGGCCTCGGTTCTTTTGTTATTGTGTGATAACAATGCAAGACGAGTGCAAGAGTGCTCGTGGATTTCGTGCATCGTTTGACCAATTGTCTGTGTACTTTGTATTTACACTGTTTATTCACCGTTTTGTTTATTCATATTCGTAGCTAAAGGCTTGATAATATTAATGAGAATTACTCTCTATGGGCTCAGGGTTACGTAACTCCCTTATGATCACGTTTCTTTAACTTTTGTTACAAATTATCAATCTAACAAAAACTAAAACATCGGAAAAAGATATCAGTAAAAGCATTATGTCCGTTCAATTTTTTACAAATTTTTAAATTCGCACAAGTATCACACCTTGACTCTTCTAGTGCGACTACAATTAAGTTACTTTATCACTTAAAGTAAACAAAATATTTACTAATTCATTCATTTTCTAGTACAATTTTCTCCCGAGAAAAACTCGACTTTAATATGGAGTTCTTTTTCAAATAAAACCTTTATTAAGCTTGTGGTACTACGTTTTCTCGTATAAATAATCGTTATCGGAAATTCCTTTTTCTTAGACATTTTTTCCTAAATATAAACGCTTTTCTTATGGGATATTTATTTTGAAGTGGGTTTAAACGCTATACCCTTGACTCTTTTCTGACCCCCAAACATTTGTTCCCTCTAAAGTTTCGACAGGGAACAGCAACCATCTAAATATGTATGCACATTTTATTCAACGTCGATCTTCTTTCAAAATCGAGATTATTTCCTTTGGAATATCGTGAAATTCGTAGACTTGGCCAGAACTCTTTCCGGCTTTCATGTTGTTTCGCCTTGTATTTTTCATGCCTCACATCAAAGTCTCTGTGACAACCATTCCCTATCGTCGCATTTGGCAACGTCATGCGATACATTTATTTCAAGTGCATGCAACTGTGATGGGGTAACCGGCCTGGCTCGGTATTGTGTTGATTGTGAACACATTGAGCCACTCCCTGCCTCGTCACTTTACAGTTCACGTAAACAAATTTTATGTCGAGACTAACTGACATGCTTGTTTGAGATGTCACCTGGGTTGGATGTTATAACTCATATTGAATTAGTTCGAAATTCCTTCGCCAATTTTCTGTTGTCGGGAGCTCGCTGGACGAAAAGAATGTAAATCTTTTTGACAACGAGTGATCGAAAACTGTATGAAATAATTTTGGGTCAATCTTCCTCGTGTGAAGATACATTCCTGGTGTTGAAACACTTTATCTGCTCAACGCTGCAAGGTGGTGTATTTGAGTCGACAAAAATCTTGTTTCAATACGAGACTTTTTGAAACAAGATTTTTTCTTCGGATTCGACTGGCAACGATAATGTGGTTCTTTCACTGTCCTACTGTTTTGACAGAAGGTTTATTCTTCTTTCAATGATAATATTAAATATTTCAGGTAAGTAATGATTTTTAACGTTTGTGTTGCCTTGTTCATCGTGCTTGACTATGCTTTTGTTATTGCTTCCTTGTTCCTAGTTTTAGCATGCACGAATTCCTTGTTCAATTTCTCCGTCCTAGTTTAGAGGTTCATTAATTTTGTACGCAAAATTTCGGCCACCGCAGAAATTTTGCATGAGTTTCCCCTACGAAATTTAAGCGCTGGAAGTTCACTGAGCGCTAATGCCACTTATTTTGAGTTCATAATAGTCATTATAACTCTGGCCACCGAGCCTGTCGTTCCTTCAAACTTTATTTCCATTGTCATGCATTGCACCAAGCAGTTGCGTGTTATTATGATGAAACCAGAAGAGTTCAAATTTTGTTCGAAATTACCTGCTTTGGTTGATCATTTATTACTATAGTTTTTACTATTAATTAACGTGAAACACAGATCAAAATCGATGAGAAACTTAGCCTGAAGGGATTTGGATTGGACGTGTCGTAAATTATATAATTATTATTGGCCTTTCAAACAATCAATATCTTCTGAGTTCATCGATTGATGGAAAGTTGTTATCCTATATCAATCGATTAATAGCCTTGGTATCCACGTTTGCAATTTCACTTAATATTTTCACTGTAATTTACGGCATTTGGCACACATCTGAATTGTATTCCTATCATGCGGGATTCTAAAGACGAAAAACAAAGTACTTACAAACGGAGAAAGAAAGTCTTTAGATGCTTATAATATTATTGTATGCATTTAATTTCATCAATTGAATAAGCATCGCCTCTTATTGATATCAAATAATTTTTATTATCTTTTTCAACACGTAAATGAGCAAACACTATTATTGATATCAATATTTATACTGTAATTTTTCAACTGTCACTTTAGCAGTGATTTGATAATTAAATTATATTCCGCTAAGATTTGATCTATTCTCTATCGTTTTTTTTTTTTGTTGGCTCCATCACAGCTCCATCCTGGAAATGCAGATATCACGCACCAGCTCTAACACTGAACGCAAACAACCTTCTCTTTTTAACTTTTTTTTAACCCTCTTTTTGCTCAGTCAGCTCTCGCAAACTTGCTCTCAAGTTAGGCACAAAAAATCTCTATTCGTGAGAGGCAAAAAAAAAGTATAGTGTGCCTAAAAAATGTCAATTAAAAAACCACTTCAAGTTTCTTTTATTTTATATAAGGTTTGCGTGGCTTCCAATGTCTGTGGTTTTTTGCACGCAGTCTTTTGCGCATTATTCGCTTGTCTTGCGTGAGAATTCCTTGTCCTTATGTTGTCTCGTGACTTTAAACTTAGATTTGTACTTGAGAATGTGTGTGAAATTGTTTTTTAAGTTAATCAAATATAACATTTTAAATGATAACATTTTATATGGAAGGATTTGCCTTGAAAATAAACAATATTCGTGTTCTAACGTGTTATATTCTACGCAAACAATAATTTTAGATCAATATGATGAACGATAGATTTTTTTTAACCCGCTGGATAACCAGGAACATATTTTTTAGTCTCCCATACATGACCATAATTGGCCCTAATTTCAGTATTCATAAAACACTATACTCTGTCCATTAAGCATTACACAGTGTATATATTCCATCAAGCCTCACACAGTTTACATTTTCCATCAATCACACAGTTCACATCTTCCATCAATCACACAGTTTACATCTTCCATCAATCATACAGTTTACATCCTGCATCAAGCCTCACGCAGTTTACATCCTCCATCAAGCCTCACACAGTTTACATTCTCCATCGACCCTACACAGTTTACATTCTTCATTATGTCCCACACAGTTTACATCCTCCATCAAGCCTCACATAAATTACATGCTCCATCAAGCCTCACTCAGTTTACATGCTCCATCAAGCCTCACACAGTTTACATTCTCCATCATGTCCCACACAGTTTACATTCTTCATTATGTCCCACACAGTATCGTATTCTGCATACTTTCCACCAAAGTAGCTGCAAATTTTAGACCACTTCACTCTGATCTCTCCAAAATCCCTATAATCTTTTGCTATCCCGATCATCCCTCGACCTAAGACCGTCTTTCCATCAAACCGGTACTCGAATTTCCCTGGTATGTTTCAACGTAGCTGAGCAGGCTGCAAATCTGAAGCTTCCAACGCAATTCTTTATCAATGAAGATATGGATGGGAACCAACAAATAATGAGAGCGATACAGTGACACGTTGTTCTCCAAGCCTTAATCGACTGGAATGTTTCGTTAACTGGCTATAGGAAGGCGATGCCTTTAAGACTATTTAATTATTAATTCCTTATTAATTGAATCATTTATTTATTATTTGAGTGTCTTGACAAACAAGTTTATCATGGGGCTCTGTTTATGTTTTCCGAAAAAAAATTGTCAGTATTAGTTGTAAATCTTTCTTTTACGATTTTATTAATCCAATTTAGCTTCAGCTAATGTTTATTTTTAACATATTTTGTGGGTCTACTTAAAAACATGAAGCTCATTCATCTTCATTCACTAAACCTAAACAGTAACACAACCTTCAAATCTCCCTTTAGGAACATGTGCACCTAAGCCGCAACGCCAGCGTTCACATCTTCATGTACAAACACCCAAAACTTTACGCGAGCGTTCACATCTTCATGTACAAACACCCAAAACTTGACGCGAGCGTTCACATCTTCATATACAAACACCCAAAACTTTACGCGAGCGTTCACATCTTCATATACAAACACCCAAAACTTTACGTGAGCGTTCATATCTTCATATACAAAAACCCAAAACTTTACGCGAGCGTGCCCATATGCCTACACAGAGACCCAAAACTTTACGCGAGCGTTCACATCTTCATATACAAACACCCAAAACTTTACGTGAGCGTTCATATCTTCATATACCAACACCCAAAACTTTACGCGAGCGTTCCCATATGCCTACACAGAGACCCAAAACTTTACGCGAGCGTTCCCATATATATGCCTATATTCCTACATAAAGACCCAAAACTTTACGCCAGCGTTCACATATTCCTACACAAGTACTCGAAAATTAATGTCAGCTCGTCGACCTTACATTTCGCACTCCGCCATTCTCCACATTTCGTAAATCACTGCAGTCCCGTGAGCTGCCCAATTAAAGTATTTTTCTTCTTCTTTTCTGAAGTTAGCCAACATCAACATGATGATAAACCGTAACATTATTATTGAACTTTATATTTATTTTGTGTTGACTCGCAGTGTTGTCTCCCCTGAGCAGTTATCAGCGCTCAGGGCCTGATCGCGAAGGACAAAAGCGGCACCTCGGACCCGTACGTCACCGTGCAGGTCGGCAAAGTCAAGAAGCGCACCAAGACCGTGCCTCAGGAACTCAACCCTGTCTGGCATGAGAAGTTCAACTTGTGAGTTCATTTTTGAATATAATTTTGTTGTGTTCAGCTCGTAGTCCGTCGTTGGGATGTGGTAATGAAATGAGGTTGTTGTAAGGTGAATAATATAGTATAATATAATATAATAAAATATAATACGCTGGTAAATTTTTTCCGTATAGGGTTTGGATCTTCTACGCTAGGATTATCAAACAATTTATTATGCCGAAACCTCTCCTGTCAAAATCTACGGATTTTACTACGTGCATTCAATAATACTCCGAGTCTCTTGCTTCGAATTAATGATTGGGAACTGTTCCGAATTTTCGCGTCGATGGGGCTAAGGATTCAAGTTTTCACCACAACTTTTCTCACTGGACGAACGTCTTGCAATCTTGCTGTTACCTTCACAAACTGAGACTGAAAAAGTCTCGACCAGCTTCCTAGAACGTGATGAAGGCCGCTCTTTTCTTCTCATGGCAGGTTGAGCTGTGGAAGACATATGAGAAGGCGAGCTTTGTTTTCACCTCTCGGCAGAAGTCGATAAACATTCTAATCGAAAATCTGGAGACCTACTAGTTCAAGTCGAATATTTCCGTATGCGTTAGAATCATGACCAGCCTTACATCAGTGTTGGCGCAAAAAAGTTCATTATATAATTCGCGATGAAAATTAATACAGCCCTTAATTGTGTTTGATCCTTAGTTAATCCTTAGTTTGTAGTTAATCCAGCGTTAGTAGTCTCTCTCTCACTCAGAAGCAAAACATTTTGATAGATGGAAGCTATCTAAAACGAATTATTTGGTGTCGGCAAGTGAAGTTGCCAGCTATGAGCCGTCCTAGAAATTCATGTTAACCCTCTACCACCGTATGTCACTCTCCGGGAACATAACTTCCAACTTATATTATACGTAAACTATTGAGTGTAGCAACCTAGCTGAGGACGTTTGTACGCATAAGAGAACATTTTAAAGTTGTCGTACGTTGCGGCAACCATCACTGTAAGTTATTTTGCGCTCACTAGCAACGTATCCTTTTTGGGAAGTAGCCTTGTGACAATATTGCTCCGGTTACTCATGTCAGGCAGTAGAGGGTTAAGCCTTGTACAAGATCAATGATTCGCCCACAGACAGCTATTGACCGGCCGTTCTCATGCAATTTCTCTCTCGATGAACGCAATTGATTCGCGGGGACAGAAAACTCTGAGCGATGGCTCTGTTTGTCTGGCAGACATTCAGTCGCATGCGCTCGGACATTTAGCTTCAGAAGAGCGCTCATTGTGAACATTCAAGTTCTGTAGAGTGGTCACTAATTGTGTACATTTACTTTCTTTAGTGTTAACTATTGGTAAATATTTAGGTTCATTTGAGTTTTCAATATTTGTGAACAGCCATGATCTGCAGATTGCTCATTGTTTACTAGGTAATATTTATGTTCTGTTGAGTACTCACTGCTTGCGAGAATTTGGTTCAGTTGAATGCTCAGTTTATGTGAACATTTAGGTTCTGTATACTGAGTGTATAGTGCTCACTTTTTGTGTACAGTAAGGATCTACAGAGTGCTCACTATTCGTTAATGTTTTGGTCATATGGAATACTCAGTGTTTGTGTCGCTGGATGGGCGGAGTAAGCATGAACGTTTTATTTTATTTCATAGTGAAATTAGCCGTCTCTTGCCTCAAAATTTTTTTTCGGTGTCTCTGGCTCTCGCAAGGCTCGGCGTGTTACATCTGCGCTCCCCGCGAATATGGATTGCCCGTAGAATTATTGCTGACTGTTCTCTATTAAAACCATTTACATCTTTACACTACAGTGTCTTTGATGTAAAATACGTAAAATTTTCAATCAACGAAGCCTTTGACGTTAATACAGTGGCGGACAAGTGAGGTTATTTTGCGTCATATATACGTGACACGTAACTCTTGACATAATTGATTCACTTAACGTACGACGTGACTGCGTCATGCCACACAGAAATACATGATTAATGGTGACGTTTTTGCTACACGTCATGCACGACATACGGTAATTTTCTTACATCATTACATCACGCCACACACGACACACGGTAATTTCTTTACACTTTTACGTCACGTCATACACGGCACACGGTAATTTCCTTACATCATTACGTCACGTCACACACGACACACGGTAATTTCCTTACATTATTACGCCACGCCACACACGACACACGGTAATTTCCTTACATAATTGCTTCATGGCACGCGGTAATTTCCTTATATCATTACGCCACGCCACACATGACACACGGTAATTTCCTCGCCTCATTGCCCTGCAGCGAGTGCCACAACTCGAGCGACCGCATCAAGGTGCGCGTGTGGGACGAAGACAACGACATCAAGTCCAAGCTGCGCCAGAAGCTCACCAGAGAGAGCGATGACTTCCTCGGCCAGACCATCATTGAGGTGAGACCTGCATCCTGGCCTGCATCATGTCATCAGACCTGTACCCAGGCCTGCATCATGTCATCAGACCTGTACCCAGGCCTGCATCATATCATCAGACCTGTACCCAGGCCTGCATCATGTCATCAGACCTGTACCCAGGTCTGCATCATGTCATCAGACCTGTACCCAGGCCTGCATCATGTCATCAGACTCTGGCCATCATCATGTCATCAGACCTACACTTCGGCCTGCATCATGTTTATCTCTACATAGTTTTATTTGTTCACCAAGAAAACAGATTGAAATAAACTTCTTCCTTCTCATGCCGCGTGTTCGGTTAGGTACTATTAATATATGTTTCACTATCTCACGAGCTTATTTAATGTGTCATTTCTAATGCATATGGGCATCTTATTTATATTCATAGGAATTATCATGAACAAGTTTGAATTTTTATATGTCTTCGCTATCCGCCTCGCTTTTTCACTGCGCCAGTAGCAATTTCTGGGTTGTGCGTTTCTGCGTTGTTTTCCGTGCTGCAAAAAGACCCAGACGTCGCTGAAGCCTGTCTTTAAATCTTCATTGGGAGCGCAGTGCAGGAAGAGTTTCACTCTCAAATCTCTCTTTGATTGCCCTGGCCAAACTTGGCTCCTCGAGTGGGCTCTACACGCCAATAGGAAGCTTGCTACGTTGGCGCATAAATTCTCCTTTTTAAGTTCTTATTTTTAAATTATTTTAATCGAACAACTTGTTGCTTGTGACTAAAGGTTTGTTTGTCATTTTAATTTTTATATTCGCAAATTTTGAACTATTTTAGTCGTTTTTTTCGCCCATTGAGGATATATCCATTTTTCTAGGGTTCTATAAGAATTTCATGTCTGAAGCTAATGACATCAGTGAAATTATAATTAATTTCACTTCAGACTCTGTGTTAACAATTCTGCAATTTCATCGTGCAAATGCTAACAATTAAAGAAATTAAATGCACTTTTCTATGCTGAAAACGTTTTGTATGAACCTTTATTTTCCGTGCAAGATGTTATACACTCCTCTGCCCCCTACCATAGGATGCTAGCAGATAGTATCGGTGGAGATATGAATATCGATGAACGTTCATCTCATATCATCTGAAAATCCTACAATCCCTCGCATATCTGAATAATTCAACGAAGTTTTTTTACTGCCTTTTTATGTGTCAAGTCTTCTTGCCCGTCACCTCCTTCAGGTAAGGACGCTATCGGGGGAGATGGACGTGTGGTACAACCTGGAGAAGCGCACAGACAAATCTGCGGTGTCAGGCGCTATCAGACTCCACATCTCCGTGGAGATCAAAGGAGAGGAGAAGGTGGCTCCATACCACGTGCAGTACACGTGTCTCCACGAGAATCTTTTCCATTATTTGTGTGAGAGTGAAGGTGGCGTTGTGAAGCTCCCAACCGCTAAAGGTGACGACGCCTGGAAAGTTTATTTCGACGACCCCGCCCAGGAAATCGTCGACGAATTCGCCATGAGATATGGCATCGAGAGCATCTATGAGGCCATGACGTGAGTTCCAGCGTTTTGTATTTGCTCATGTTCTGAAATTGATCCGAGTATTCTGTGTACCTGAAAATAAACTTGAGTTAATTTTGTGGTAAATTTACCAACTTTTTTGTTTGTATTGGGTTTATTTGACTATTGAACTCTATAGTTTGCAATCCTGTAATATACATTATCCCCTCTCCTTGACTCATATTGACTGTCTTGGGAAATATTCGTGAATATTAAGCACACAAGCAGGCATCGCTGTCGGAAGATGTCTTAAATAAATTAATTTTTTGCTTCAATCTGCTGAGTTTTACCACTGTTGTCTCTCTATTGATATTATTATAACCTCTATATCGACCAGTGTCCATACCTCGTAGATTCTCGGGTAATGATGACACTAACGTTGATGCTGGCACTCGTTATGTTATCTCAAAGAAATTCCAAAAAGTATCAACGTATTTCCTATGATACGTGCAGCCACTTCCACTGCCTGTCCACGAAGTATCTGTGTCCCGGAGTGCCGGCGGTCATGTCTACGTTGCTCGCCAACATCAACGCCTTCTACGCGCACACCACAGCTTCCTCCGCAGTGTCTGCTTCTGATCGATTCGCTGCTTCCAACTTCGGGGTGAGAAGTTCTTTTTATATTGTACTTGACTCTAAAATAAATGAAGGATTCTTATATGAGAACATGTGTTCACCTTTTATCACTGTTTGGTATTTTATACGAGTTACGAGTACCTGAGTACTCGTATGTACCTGAGTACCACAGTTTGATATTTTGTACGAGTACATAATGGCATCTTTTATTACAGTTTGATATTTTGTACGAGTACCTGCGGGCATCATTTAACACCGTTTGATATTTTTTCAAAGTCTTGTTAGATTCAAAGTTTTCGATTAAGATTAATGTTGAGGTAATATATCTTGTAGTTCTCAACGAATCACTACATATTACGTCGAATTTATTATATGACCTAATACGTTGATTGGGACATTCCTCTTACAAAGAAAATTAAACTAATCTCTATGATAAAGTTGACACTGGTCTGCATTAGCAAATATCGAACTCGCCAGGGTTTAGTTCTTAGTGCCTAACTTACCGGATACATGGACCATAATAAACCTCATAGATCTTTCATTGAATGAAAAATGAAAAAAGAAAAGATGAAAATGAAAAGATTTTTCATAAAATTCATAAAAAGATCTCAATGAAAAGATTCATAAACCTCATAGCTTCAATTTTTTTCATTGAGAAAACAATACCCATTCAAGGCACAATGCAAACGCATATAAATTTTGATAGGCTTGGCTACCACGAACATCAGGGTCGGTTCGACTGTGATAGGCTATAGGTGCCACGTGTTGCTTCGAACCATTATATCGTGATCCGCTTTAAAGAAGATTATGAACCGAGAGGAAAAGATGCTTTTTACTTAATGAGAAAATTCAAAATTCCACTGGATGATTGTGTCAATTCTGCAGAAGAGCAATACACTTCTAATAGATGATACTTGATGTGTTTTACTGATGGAAGAAAAACTCGTTGGTGACTGATGAAATATCACTTGGTAAAGAAACTATCATTGAACGATTAGATAAGCAGGCGTCATTTGTTGTAGAAAGTGAACTTCGTGTATGATTAATGATTAAAAAATGATTATATAACGATTAATCAATAAGATAACATTTGTTGCAGCAATAGTAGTTCTCGGAGTATTAATGATTAATTAATGATAAATTATTTGGTCGCAGAAAGAGAAGTTCGTGAAGCTGCTAGACCAGCTGCATAACTCGCTGCGCATCGACCTCTCCATGTACCGCAATAACTTCCCGGCCAGCAGCGCTGAGAAACTCCAGGATCTTAAGAGCACTGTTGACCTCCTCACCTCCATCACCTTCTTCAGGATGAAGGTCAGTGCCTTCTTTTTATGATGAAGGTCAGTGCCTTCTTCTTTAGGATGAAGGTCAGTGCCTTCTTCTTTAGGATGAAGGTCAGTGCCTTCTTCTTTAGGATGAAGGTCAGTGCCTTCTTCTCTAGGATGAAAGTCAGTGTCTTCTTTTTTTTTGGATCATGGTCAGTGCCTTCTTCTTTTAGATGAAGGTCAGTGCCTTTTTCTTTAGGATGAAGGTCAGTGCCTTCTTCTTCAGGATGAAGGTCAGTGCCTTCTTCTTTAGGATGAAGGTCAGTGCTTTCTTCTTTAGGATGAAGGTCAGTGCCTTCTTCTTTAGGACGAATTTCAGTGCCTTCTTCTTTGGGATGAAGGTCAGTGCCTTCTTCTTTAGGATGAAGGTCAGTGCTTTCTTCTTTTGGATGAAGGTCAGTGCCTTCTTCTTGATGGTCAGTGCCTTCTTCTTTAGGACGAATTTCAGTGCCTTCTTCTTTAGGATGAAGGTCAGTGCTTTCTTCTTTTGGATGAAGGTCAGTGCCTTCTTCTTGATGGTCAGTGCCTTCTTCTTTGGGATGAAGGTCAGTGCCTTCTTCCTTACAATGCCGGGCGAAGTTCGTGTTTATTATTATTATTAATTTCTGATCCCTCATTATCAGGCAGCACATATTATGTGATGATCTGATGAATGTGGGGCTGTTTCATTATCATAAGTCCATTTTGTACTAATTTGAACATATTATTTAATATTTCGTTATCCTTGCATTTATCTGTGAGAACTAAAAACGATTATTGACCTGAAAGATGGGCAATGGGTCATTCATGTGGCACGAAACGCAATTTTTCACAATTTTTCTCAAGCATTTGGCTGAGATTCGTTTTTTTTCTCACATTTTTTCTTTAAAATCTAGCAAATTATTTTCTTTTGCGTTGAAAATTCAGATTTATTCGAAATTATTTACAAGGAAAGCTGCAGGTTCGGAAATTTCATCTCTGCAGCATATCAATAGCAACAATCGACTGGTGCTATTTCCGGCATCATTTTGAGCTTATTGATGGTATTTTGTTTCCATTGCTAAGGTAATAATCTTCATTGCTGGCAATTGACGTCAAGTGCGTCGTGATGGTCGAATTGGCCACAACCGAGACGTAAATAATAATTCATCAACAATTTGTTGCAATTCTCGTCCATTCATACCACTTTCATGCTCGAACTTCAACCCAAGAGTGTTTTTTTAACGGCAGTAAAGAGATAAATCTCTCACGTGCTTACTGTGAAATAAATATTCTGCGAGTATCAAAAAGTCAGTCTGAATTTTGAAGACGTTTTAGATGAATACTTGATATTAGTTGAAATTATTTTTATGCTTATTTCAGATCTAGGCTACTATTCTTGTTTTTATTTCATGTTAGAAAATTTTGATAATTTTGTAAAGTGATAATGTTTAAAAGAAAATTGATTATTTAAATCAATGATAAGTATATAATATTCCATGCGAACTGAGAATTACATGCTGTATTTCCACAATTCATGAGGGAAGTATAGTGTGGAGTTATATATCTATAATTATATATGCCATTGTTATAACATTTATTGTTATTTCGTTGGGAAGCCATGAATCTCTTTAACTTGACGTGTCATGCAAGGAGGTTCAGTTCATATGGAAATGAACACCGATTTTTCACACTTTGTATTCCATTGATCGGATATGTTCAACTGCACCATGTTGTGCCCAGTCCTCTAAAACACGTTTGAATCGAACATGGCAATGGTCAATACCGTAATTCAATACCGGTCAATCCTCTGCTGTTCTCGTTTCCGATTAAAAATGCAAACTCGGCGAAAAAGTTTCTCCAAACAAAATTCAGTGTATTTCTGTGTAACCATACTAAAAAACAGTCAAATTTCATTTCTTTGGTAATAATCATAAGCCTTCAAGTTGTTTGAGTTGAGAATGACAGGCTTAGACTTAATTTAGTGTCTGGTTGGACTTGACTCAGAGATCGCCTGTTGGCTCTGATGGCCGCCATATCTGCTTTACCGAAGTGCCGGATCTCGCTCAGCTGATGGCAGGTGTCCCCGCAAAACTCTTACTGTGATTGTACAGAGAACTCGTTTCAAGTTCTTTTAAGGTCTTACCGACTACTTTTTACGATATCTTCAATTGCTTCGTGCCTTTGTCTGAATACCAAATACACTAAAGCTACCGGGAATTCTCCCTCGAATGGCCGAACGATTTTTAAAGCAAGCAAATCCCATCGTGCAGTGGCAGGAATCTTTCGTTACGATCTGCCTTATATTTCCATGACAGGCTTCTGACGCTGAGATGCTCGTTTGCAAAGTGCGGCGCGTCGTGTGTGGAGCAACAAATTTGCGTTGTTGATAACCTGAGGGCAAACTTGACATTCATTCTAAATTAGTTAGCAGAAAATTGAATGCAAATATTATTTAATGTATATCTGCTGGTATTTTATATAATTGTAATTGCTCTATATCTCAAAACTCGTATTTTTGATCGCTAAATACATCAATAGGTTGATTCTGTCATATTTCTCGATACCTAGTTTGAAAATTAATTATTTATAGTAGTTCGCAATTAACATAATGAATGCATCATTATGCGACAATGCGTTATTGATATATTCAGCCATGTAGTAACGTTATATATTGCTATAGTGATGGCGATGATCAGATGCGCTAAGTATTAGTATTATAGGCGTACGTATACCACCTCGATATGAGAAATGTTCCGTCGCCGCTACAGCAATCCGATAGTTCAATAACGAGAGAGAGCTCTTCGCTGCCCCAAACGCATCGAATGGTTTAAAGCTGAGCTACAGCTGCTGTACAGCACCTGTGGAACTGAGCTGCAGCTCTACAGCGCAGCTGCGGTCAGGGTTAGCTGCAACTTTAATACTCCGAGTTACGTCTGGGAAAAGCTCTTGTTTCGCTCGTTTCGTTCTTTTACCGCGCGTTTCCCGACACTGAAACTGTGGCAGTGGCCACGAATATGCGCACGAAGCAGTTAAGCGTGTATAATATGAGGCTTGTTACGGCGCCATTCTTTGTCTACACTCATTCCTGAGTGTAATCCAATTATTTCAAACTTTGATCAATCTATTTAATTGTCAATTGACCTGCTTATTTGTGATGTTCTGTGTATATTTTAGCGTGATTAGGGACATGCGAAATTGTCCCGAAGTTTGTTTGATTTGCAGATTTACTACGTTTTTGAGCACCAAAGCAAGTTCTCGTACAATGTATGATGGATAGATTAATTAGTAAATAAATGGAATGATGTGAGGATTAGTGTGATTTTGATTAGAGATTGAAATTATCATACTACATTTGTAGTTAATAACTTATTTTAAAGCTATCATTCATGGTGAGAGATTTGGAATAATTCATCAAAATATTGCAGGTACAAGAGCTTGCGTCGCCGCCGCGCGCGAGTGTGGTGGTGAAGGACTGTGCCATCGCCTGCCTCAAGTCCACGTATCAGTTCCTCTTCGAGAACTGCTACGAGCTCTTCAGCAGGGAGTTCCAGGTGAGACATGCTGTTGAATGCAGTAAAATATGTTCACGTGGTTAAATGTAATTATGACTCAAAGTGTCTGGGACTTGTAATTTAACCGCGACGCAAGTCCATTTTGTGATTAAAAAATTGTGAGCGCCCCAATTAACTATAGGCGGTTGGTTTTCATCTTTCAGCCTCATGCCATTTTTCATATTTTTACTTCTATTGATATTATTTGAATATTTCTCTTTATAATTAATGATATCCTACACGGGAAGACAGGCATGGAGTTCGGGTCATGTCCCGTTCAATTCGAAATTTTTGTTTACTGAATCTCCAGCTTCATTTCATGGTAAGATCAACTTGTTGGTTCGAATTTTGCGAGCGTCATTCATTGATATCGTATTTAATTTCATCCACAAATCATGCATCGGATATTAGAACTGAAGACAGGCTTTGTCATTGCTAAAAAACTTTGCTTAATCATTATAGAAAATTTGTGAATGGTGGTCAGATGTCATCTTTTCTCAAATTATTTTCAACATCCCAAAGCCATCACGTGACTCCGAGGCCTCATTTGTATTTTTTGGATCAATAAGCCATCTATGTTTTTTGGTATGAAATTTTTATTTTCTTTTCTACTGATACGAAGCATTTGGATAAATAATTTTACCTCGGAGATATGAGTAAGACTTTTCAAAGTAGCGACTCATTCTTTGCATTTGTTTAGGTCATCCTGACAAGTTTAGGCTGGCAAAAAAGCCTTTCAATGCCACGTGCAGAAAATGTCACTATTAGGATAATATGACCCATTCATTCTTTTGAGTTTTCACTGTCAAGTAACTCGGATCAGGTTTTATGGTGAACATTAATATTTGTAGGTCAGAGTGTTGACAGTGAAGACTCTCATTGAAATTTTGTTCGTTAATATTTCGGCTTGCGTGTTTGTATCTGGTACTCACCGTGGACAGCAAAAAAGTTCTTTTTCCAATTATCGAGCTATTCAGTTTGCAAAATCCTGCTGTTCTTTATACAAGCCAATCCCTTGCAAGTTAGCTGCAGTTTGGCTCATTTTTAGCGTATTTTATCATTTATGGAAAAAAGACGCTATTGTGCTCGGCATGTCCGTCTGTCCGTCCGTCCGTCCGTGACTTCACGTTTTCGTCGACGAGAAAATGCGCTCTCTGTCACTCACTGCAGTGAGTACTGAGTTATATTTTTCAATATTAGACAATGGGTCTTGTGTAGCTTCATTTGCTAATTCTCTCACTATTTTTTTATGTCTTAAATTTTAGCTCTGGACGCCTTAGAGCGCCTTCTTAATGACACTTAAACTTGTGTTTAGAATCTTAATTTTTATTTTGGAAATCTCTTTACTGAAGCTGACGATAAATTATCAACGAAACTGAAAAATTTAGTACAATTTGGTCGCGTTCAATGCCTATACGTTGAAAGTTTGCAAATAACAATTAACAAATTTTTAGTAAAAATGGTTATGATACCTTAAAAATTGAAAACTAGGTTACTTCTTTACACCTAGGCAGTTTTATAACAAACCAAATGGACGAATGAAGTAAAAATCTTCAACTATATGTTGTTGAGACGTTTTTCCTGCCGTCGTACCATCCGATATCAGGAAATCTCCATCGCCTAATTTCGATGTACACGTTAAATAACTCTAGTTAATCCTTAAAAATGTTGAGTAATGCCCTCATTGACTAATGCATTAAAACGCAAACAACAAATATTTGAATCCCAATTTGCGTCGCTTAGTTTTGAATATTGTCGCCTTATAATATTTCGGCTTCAGTATTCCGAGATAAAAAAAGCTTCATGTTCCTCATGTTGTGCTTTTTCATCGCGCAATAAATTTGTTTGTGGTCAAAATTTCAATGTATTTTAGAAGGCTAACAGAACTTACAATTTAAACGTAACTTTATTGTTAGTGCATGTATCAATAGCTGCCATTCTTATACTCTATTCCAAACAATTTCGTCTTCGTTGATGCGCCGAGTTTGAACGCCTTGTGGAATAAGATAGATGAAGTAATGCCAAAGTATGTGTTCGTACTTGAGCTATCTATGTCTCCATGCACCTAGTAAAAGTTTAGTAGCTTTCTGATTCACCGTCAGTTGTGAAAGTATCTGAACTAAAAGCCAGATTTTAGATCTCCTGTGAACAAGTCAAGAAAAGGCCCAACTTGGCCTATTCTTTAGCGCCGACGATGAACAATGGAATAATTAATTGCACTTAGCTCTGGCAACTTGAATGGATAGCCAGCTACGGCTTTATTTTTATCTTGTTAAGTTTATTGCTATCTCATGTTCGGATAAATTTGTTGTTCTTAGGTTCTATGGTAGACTCCTCCTTAAAAAAAATCGATATCCTGGTAGCATAATTTTTTAGCTTTACGGTTGCGCTAAGTTGAAATTTAAGCTCAAGTATATAAGTTTGCATTTAACATGACAAAGTTATTTTACATAAATGATTGAAGGTTCCTAAGATATATAGCAAGTTACAGGAGCACACGAGGTAAAGGTTGCTCATTAATATTCAATAGGCTGTTCAATATTCGGTTATGACTATAAATGTTTATTATAGCTCTCAGTAATGGCATTAGGTGCTTGACGGTAGATATATTGGTGCGATGGCTACGAGTTCTGCACTTAGCTCAAGTTTCGTGTGTCTGGGCCCAAGTGTGGCTTAGAGTACGGGTTTCGTGGCGTAGGTGCATCTTAGGTAATATGTTTCATTTTTAAGTGTGTCTGGTCGCAGGTGTGTCTGGGCTTCAAATGCTTCCGGGCACATTGGTGTTGGGGCACAATGGTGTCTGGGCACTATGGTGTCTGGGCACTATGGTGTCTGGGCACTATGGTGTCTGGGCACTATGGTGTCTGGGCACTATGGTGTCTGGGTGCAATGGTGTCTGGGCTCATGTGAGTCAGGGCTCAAATGGGTCACGACTAAAGTGTGTCTGTGTCGGCAGGTTGACCCGGCCGAGAAGTTAGAGCCCGGCGAGCAAGGCCCGAGGCTGGACAGCGTCGACTTCTGGTACAAGCTCATCTCCCTCATCGTCTCGGTCATTGACGAGGACAAGAACAGCTACGCGCCCGTCCTCAACCAGTTCCCTCAGGAGTTCAACATCGGCGCCGTGAGCCCTGAACATTTCCTCTGACTAAATTGGATCCGTTGTTTTCTTAAGTCATGTCCTATGACTAAATAGGGTCCGTTGTTTTCTTAAGAGTCATGTCTATGACATAATAGGGTCCGTTGTTTTCTTAATAGTCATGTACTGTGACTGATTAGGGTCAGTTATTTTCTCAGGATTTGCAGCACAACGATGCATGGGTCGTCACACTGCAAGTGAATTGATTGATTGAAATGCAGCTAATGAAAAGCTTATTGGCACTTAGCTTGAATACTTAGGCTTAGCTTTATTTTTTTCTTTAGCTCTCGGCGGCGACGATGTGGGGGATGTTCGCCATGGACGTGAAATACGCGCTGGAGGAACATGAACAGCACAGAAAGTGCAAGAGCAGCGAGTACATGAACCTGCACTTCAGGGTGAGTGTGAACCTGCAACGTACCATTATCACAGTTTTTCCCTGTAAATCTATTTTTCTCGTTCAAATGAGCTGGGAAGTATTAGAAAATTAGATTGAAAGTGAACCGTAGTTTCATGTTGAATTTGGTGCTTCGAATAAAAAAATTTTGTCGGAAAGTATTTTTAATATTTCAAACTTATTTACCGTTCATTTTTTCGATTTTAAATCCTGCAGTCTCGCTTTCTCATGCTCATTAATTATCTCATTTTTGCGGCGGCAGGTGAAGTGGCTGTACGACAACTACGTCAAAGACGTGCCTCCCTACAAAAACCAAGTGCCTGAGTACCCTGCGTGAGTATCGTACGCCTGGATGTTTGGTCATGTAACACACAGTCCATGATATGCAGTATTACCGCATTTTCTTGGCTTTTAGTGCACTGCATTGCTGCGCATTTCACTGGCGCCTCTAAAAAGTTCTAGCACATTTTTTCAAGTTTATTTGCCTTATGAACAATTTTCTCTAATGCTTGGAAGTTTGAGCCTATAAACTAAACTCCCTCCAGATGGTTCGAGCCGTTCGTCATGCAGTGGCTGAACGAAAACGACGATGTTTCGCTGGAGTATCTCAACGGGGCCTTCCAAAGAGACAAGAAGGATGAGGTAAGGTCATCTTGTGTGACTATGTTCCTTATCACGTAGTACGTACTTCATCCAGGGCCCCTCATTCCACATAGGGTCGCTTACTCCATATAGGGTCGCATCGAGATTTTGGAACTAAGCAATCAGTAATGAATAGGTTACGCTAGAATTTGTCATTTATTTTCGATCATGAACGTTAAACCTCTCGTTCCTTTATCAACCAATGTCTTGACAATCAATTTTTACCAGTTGCATCGAATGGATTTTACGTGTAGTATAGACTTGATCATACCTTCAGCATTGACTTGATGTAAAGGCCATGACTTTACACTTTGCATCTTGTCTTGATTATACTCTGACACATCATCTAACCTAACGTTTTATTTGGGACAGTTCCCGCCGAGCTCGGAACACTCGCTGTTCTCGAACTCCGTGGTGGATGTGTTCACGCAACTCACGCAGTGCTTCAGCGTCGTCTCGAAGCTCGAGTGTCCAGACCCGGAGATCTGGAAGCGCTTCATGAAGAGGTTTGCTAAGACTATCGTCAAAGTGCTGCTGGCTTACGCTGACATCACCAAGAAGGAGTTCCCGAACTACGTTGCTGATGAAAAGAAGGTATTCATGAACAAACCAAAATCATTATAATGAACCTGGAGATATTGTATTTCTCAGGTAGCAATAATGCGCTCACATGATCCAGTAAAGTCCTGAAATTAGGGTTGAGTCTATACAATTTTATCATCAAATTGAATATTATACTCTATGGTAATCTTGATCTTCTTACGATTTGACGAAGAATCTTTTACGTGCCCACAGTGTGCAACTATCTCCCTAAATATGAAATTTAAATGTTAAGCTCAAATATATCTATATTCTATCTATACATTTATCAAGAATATCTAAGCCACACTGAAAAAAAAAGATTAAATAATTCAAAGATTAAATAATGGATTATTTTAACTCTTCAGGCGTGCATCTTGATGAACAACATCCAGCAGCTGCGAGTAGAGCTGCAGAAGATGTACCAAATGATGGGTGGTAAGAGCTTAGAAGACGACGTCGCGACCATCCTCAATGACCTCCAGGCTTCCCTTAACAACGTACTCGAGGAACTCGCGCAGATCTTCGGTAAAAGGTGCGTGCCAAGAGGCTGGCTCGTCAGTAATCGTCAAATAAATCGGGAGACGTTGAAATTTTCGGTGATGTGGTATATTTTTGGTTCCAAAGGCATTCGAAACAGTGCTTTGTTCAAACTTGAAACGATTCCGTTGTGTTAATCAGGTAAATATGCTTGGTATTTGTAGCCATAGATCACGATTGCGTTCACTAATGGCTGTGAAACACTGTAGCTTGGAGACGAAGATCACGATCAAGGTGAAGGAGATGGGAGACCGTCTGGTGGCCATCAAAGGCACCGGGCAGGTGCAGCCATCACAAAGAAACGCCATCATCAACGAGGCGGACTACGTCGTGGAGCCGCTCATGGAGCTGCTCGGGGACTCGCTCTCTATGTACGATCACTCCTGCGAGAAGACGATCTTTAAACGCGTCCTCAAGGAGCTCTGGAAGATTGTCATCACCACCCTGGAGAAGGCCGTCGTGCTGCCACCCATGACAGATAAGGCGGTCAGTATAAGAGTAGTAATTTTTATGTGTAATTATTTAAACTACATGCACTATTCTTAATAATTTAGAGAGTGTCGTTTTACTACATTCTCGTTTGACTGGGGAACGTGGTTCTTTCGGTCCTTTATGAGCTAGATAAGGCGGTTAGTATATGAGTAATTTTTATGAATATATATTTAAACTACATGCACTATTCTCTTCTTAATAATTTAAAGATTGTCGTTTTACTAGTCTCTCCTTTGACTGGGTGAACGTGGTTCTTTCGGTCCTTGATGAGCTTAGTAATTTGTGAAGTTAATTTTACAATACATTATAAAATGTTTGCTGGGGTATTTTATTATAGTTTGTTAATCAATTATCACAATTGCCTAAAATTTGTAGTTGCTGGCGCCCCGGACCTACGATTTTTTCACATTTTTTTATTCCTAATCTTAGTAAATAACCCGTATTACCGCTTTCTATTGCTACGTATTCTTTAGTTTCAGCTACGTAAATCCTTCAATCATCATTTTAAATCTGGTCTGGTTGTCCTCTTTCCTGTTGAAAACATCCCTTTCCTGTCATCCTTCATTTCGGTGTTATGCCTACTCCACCACTCCTACCCTCACCTCTCCCCTCTTGGTTTGTATTGCTCCTACCTTCACCTCTTCCCTCTTGGTTTGTATTGCTCCTACCTTCACCTCTTCCCTCTTGGTTTGTATTGCTCCTACCCTCACCTCTTCCCTCTTGGTTTGTATTGCTCCTACCTTCACCTCTTCCCTCTTGGTTTGTATTGCTCCTACCCTCACCTCTTCCCTCTTGGTTTTTATTGCTCCTACCCTCACCTCTTCCCTCTTGGTTTGTATTGCTCCTACCCTCACCTCTTCCCTCTTGGTTTTTATTGCTCCTACCCTCACCTCTTCCCTCTTGGTTTGTATTGCTCCTACCCTCACCTCTTCCCTCTTGGTTTTTATTGCTCCTACCCTCACCTCTTCCCTCTTGGTTTGTATTGCTCCTACCCTCACCTCTTCCCTCTTGGTTTTTATCGGTCCTACCCTCACTTTACCCCTCTTGGTCTAATTGGTTTCCCCTGAATCATTTCCCTCGTCTCGCCCGCCTCTAACAGATGATGCTCAAGAACCTGCTCACTGACAACGCTAAGACCATCGCCGCCAACGCCAAGATCGAGGACATGTCGCGCATCCTTAAGAGCCAACTCGCCGGCGGCAAGGATGTTAAAAACGCCATGTCCAACATCATGGTAAGAACGCCATGTCTAACATCATGCTAAGAACGTCATGTCCAACATCATGGTAAGAACACCATGTCCAACACATCATGGCATTGAAGTCATGGAAGTCATGTCCAATATCAGTAGCTCTACCCTAAAGTTTGGCGTCTCTATTATGTGACTTTTGCTTAAAGCTTTTATATTCTTAATGACGGGCTTTGATGCACACCGAGGGGCGGTTCAAGTTAGAACACTGCTTCAATAATTCTGTGCTTTTGTGTTCCTAATTACTCGCGAATTCAAGTTGTTCATACCGAAGATTTGCCTTTACAAAACCTGGTTTTCATTTCCGCAATTTTTTTTTTCGCTTCGTTTCAGCTCCCCCGAAGTCTTCTTCAAGAATGTTGCAATTTCTACCGAATCGGATTTTTCCACCCTGTTTTATTATGCAAACCAGACGAGACTAAAATGTTTTGGGTGTAGTTTCCTTCTTTTACGAAAATTATTTAATGAAACTACCAAAACTGTTGTTTTTGAGATGTCGTAGTGTTCGTATAAAAAATATTAAACCACCTTAAACCACCTTAATTGTTTGGTTTTCTCAGCGCTGTCTTAATGCTCTTGTAAAATTTAGGTAATGAAGCCTTAGAAATTCTTTAATAAGCGCAGTGTTGTTGAAATTCTGACCGGCTTCTGAACAGCAAATAAAATTCAATTTAGCTACTCGTCACGTAAGCTTTCCTCATTTTAATGGCTCTACTAATTAAATTCTTGGGGTTATCACTGCCGGGAATACCTACACGTTTCATTCCAAAGCTGGATAAAATTGGGTAAAGCTAAGGTTTATCTTCCAACTTTCAGTAACAAGAAATGATTCTTGAATGTTCGTTGTTCATGCATTCGGATCTAAACCACTGATTACTGAATGTGAGCCTATATTTATTACCAAGTTTGAAGGTAAATATAATATTACTCGTTACAGGACATTTCAAAAGACTTCGAGCGGAACCTGACCCCGAAGCAGTGTGCTGTGCTGGAGTGTGCCCTAGAAACCATCAAGCAATATTTCCACTGTAACGGCAAGGGTCTGAAGAACACATTCCTCGACAAGTCTACGGAACTCAAGTCTCTGAACTACGCGCTTTCACTCTACACTCAAACTACCGACACGCTCATCAAAACCTTCGTCAACACACAGACCTGTCAAGGTAAGAGATGCAATCTAGAACTTATACATTTTATTAGTTCAGTGGTTCTCATAAGTCTTTTTATTAGTAAAATTGTTCTAATGGGTCGTTTTATAAGTACAACGGTTCTCACGAGTCTTGAATGTATCTTCATTGTCGTCTGAAGAAAATTTCAGGTTCCGTATTCACTGAGACGTACCAGTGATTCTGGCGGAAGCCTTTCTCTGACGGGAAACAAAGTTCGTATCAGACCACCGGACTAAGCGTATTTAGTAGCTCGCCATTAACTTGATAAAACTACTTTTTTATCACATGCATAAAACGTATTTCTTTTCGCTCGTATATTACTGAGATCAGCATTCATGATCTCTGGTTAAAAGTAATCCATAATTTCCTAAATTTATAAGATTTTAAACTCGCAGCGGAAACCTTTATTTAAATTCTATATGCAACCACAATCGAAAACTGCATTTTTCGCCTCCATGCTCTTCTATTAAGGCACTCAGTATTGAGGTTTCCTTTTTCTTGTCATGTTCATTAATCACCTGGCTTTCACCTCAATTGTATTTTTGGTATCAGATGCGTGAGTCCAGTCGATTCCGGTACAACGCACATATTGCTTAACTCCCTAACAATTCAGCTTTGCAGATTTGTTACAAATAATTAACTCGTATCCAGTGCACTCTTGTGCAGGTTCGCGCCATCGTTTTCGTGTTGTAATAGAAATTTTCTCTCTAACTTAAGCGTGCGCTAGAAATATTATTGTTTCGTAGACTCGTGTTTTGTATTTATTTAGCTTTGTTCCGAGCCGCTCGGTTCCGGAAGAAGCGAAAGCGCGTATACTTCGAGCCCAGCAAAAGCGTTATTGCATGAGATTGTGGCTTCGTCAGATCCGCGAACCATTTCTATGTGTTGCTGTCGTCTTGATCATCGAAGAGAAGTTCCTGACAAGTTTTTCTTGTCAGTTCCTGTGAACGAGAGTAAATTTCCTCGAAGAAAGAAGCCAAAGAAACAAGAGTCAGTGAGCAGCACAGGAGGCCCCAACGAAGACGGAGAAGGTGAAGAGGAAGATGAGGGCGATAGGAACGATGCAACTGAGTTAATAAGAAGCGACATGAGAGGTAAAGCTGGTCTTCTCGTCTGCATTCTGCTTCCTCGTTCTTCTCATACCGCAGTTGCCTGCCAACAACTAAGCTCCCAAACTCTGTTGATTAACTCATAGAAAAATAGGCAACTTATTCTTTTTGCTCAATGCAAGCGCTTTTTGAGAGCTGTGAACGTTCGGCTTGCGTACCAGCACAGCTTGACATTTCTCGAAGCCACTCCTTTCAGTGTCGGCGTTCACTTCCCGGACGTTCCGTTTGTTTCAGTGCCGTTCTTGTCTATTATAAAGCATCTTGCGTTCGTCATGTGTCTTGCTTAGCCTAGTTTTCAGTAGTGCTGGTCGTGTTCCAAGCCATTTGTTGGACTTCTTCCGAAGTTAGCTGCATTTTTTCCGAATAAATAACGAAGAAATTATTCTTGAGCATCCTGACGTGCTTAGCTTAGAGTTTTGTGTTCTGTCTTGACTTGTGTTTTTCGCGATGCAATTTTCTAACAACTATTAGATGATTGAATGGTCCTAAATCATTGTATCATCCATAGTCTGCCCTGTGCTTTCATAGGAACGCTATTACTATCATTTCTCTTACCAGACTAAAAAACGGTAGATAAATTAACCGCAACTTATTTGATTACGCCCCACCGTTGCGTTCATTTAACATGTACTGATATTCATTGAGCAGTAACAAAGTCGGCTGACTGCTATTTACTTCAATTTTGGTAATTTTTTAGAAAGTGTCAAGCTTTTTGATCATTTTTAGGTTTGATATTTGCCTCTCCGTGTGCACAAATAGATAGAGGCTGGTCAAATTTCTAATTCACCTCGAGTGAAGAGCTGAGGGAGAAATCCACTCCAAATTCATCTAGGATAATGTATGTATAATATGAATAATATGCAGTCTCATCAATGATTCAGTCTGCTGTATTCACTGCAGGGAATGACGAAACCTCTTTGATGTTGACAAAATTTCTGTTTCCAAATATAATTTCACTCCTGAATAATGTTCATAAAAACTGATTGTTTGTCCTGCGAGTTGAGCATGAACATGGCATGAGCATGAACAGCTAGCTAGACCGCAGATAGATAGACCGCACAATAGTTCACGAACGGAGGATGACGAATTAAAATATTTCTGTACCCTTTATTAAATTTTTCGTTTGTCAATGCCATCTTTTGAAGACTGCGTGTTTTTCTGTCCTAAACGCGTCCGCTGCGATCAATACATTTCTTTCTTCCATATCATGAGAGTGATAATTATAAAAATTCATGAACAACATCTGCTTAGTTATATGATTATTTAATGTGGTGAAATAAAAAGAAATGTGTGAATTTTAATGCTTGTTGTGGATAATATTTTAATTTGGATATATTGCTGATATGCTGTGATTAAAATTGTTCGTATTTATCCGTGGACTTATAGAAACACAACTAGCAATATGAGTATTTATAAGTAATTGCAAACCTTATAAATTGTGCCGTGTTAAACATTGTTCGACTCGAAGACCTGAACGTTTTCTTACTTATTCAGTTATATATCGCTGATGGAATGTAGAATATTCGTAACATTGACTAAAACTTCCGTTAACCAAGCATCATCAATTTAGTTTCTGCAGACTACATTATCTCGATGGATAGTAACATAAAATATCCATTGCCCCTCGAAAAACGATATTCTTCAGAGGACTGGACCAAATTTATCGTTATTTCTTTTTAGCGGTAGAGCAATCGTGCATGTGTTTCATGATAAACATCGTTTTTTCTAAACCGACGAATGACAAAAGCTATTGTGATGTTTTTTCACAGTCAGTGTGGCTGTTCGAACATTTTTGCTCGGGATGATTATTTTTTTATAAATCGTAATCGCCTGATGATGAAGTTTTGGTTGCGCCGAATCCCCAATTGATTGAAAATAAACGAAAATATTTCTTTTTGAGTTAAGTTTCATCCAAAATTTTTTTGCCGACAACCTGATTTGGTTGAGACTCATGAGGTTCATTTGTATTGTAGACAATAAGAAAATTCTATTCGGGTGGGGTGAGCAGCCATTCTCTTTAACATTATGAATATTTATAAAAAACTAGGATTTATTTCTCATAAACTAAGTTACTCGTATTAAGTTCATCATACATAAAGTTATTATTGCATACGCACTAGCTCTGAGATTTCTCAGAGAATCCCTTCCATGCGCCAGGCATTGCACAGAAAATATATTTACGCCTTTTTAGCGCATTTTCTCATTTATGAAAAAAATGCACTATTGTGCTCGCCATGTCGGTCCGTCTGTCCGCCTGTCTGTCCGTCCGTGACATCATGTTTTCGTCGCCGAGAAAATGCGCTCTCAGTCACTCACTGCAGTGAGTACTGAGTTATATTTTTTCATATAATCCTTATTAAGAATTTTCAATGCTGGAGCTGGTCTCCGAAACATTTTTGATTAATATCTAGTGTTTATTGATCAAGGATTTAGTGCTTTTAAATCCTCGGTTGAACTGTGAGTAAATCTACAAATGATACAAATAATTGACGTCTTAGTTTACTTAGTAATGACACTAAATTTTATCGCAGGATCAACAGACGAAGGCAGCGTTGGCGAGATCAGCATCAACGTTGATATCTACACGCACCCCGGCACCGGCGAACAGAAGATTAATGTTAAAGGTACGAGAACCACCGAGCTCAATAGTTACGGCTTCTTATTAAGTAAACGTCGAACAAATGTTAGTAAAATTCGTCTATATATTAACTAGGATCAGTAAGATATCCTGAAAAAAATTAAAGAGAAGGTAAACCGTCCAACGGAAACGAGGTTTATTTTAAATAATAAACAATTACTGCAACATTTGCACGAGGTATTTTTTATTGAATAATAAAGTTTTTTTCTTTTCTTGATGTCATTCAGCAATAATTTGAAATTTTGTTCAAGTTTCCACGCTTTATCTCCATCTTATGTTGCAGCATCAGAAATGAAGACACGCTCAGACTGGCTAATCCTGTTATGACGAAATTTCTTCTGATTTGATTTACCAATGAACATGATAATTTATTCCACCAAAATCTTCAATCTGAATTTAATTCTTTCAACATTGAATACGTCTTTGTTTTAGTTTTTAGTTAGTCTCTATATAGTCTCTAGCTTGTATACGGCGTTGGGTACTAACATAATTGTACCGTGATCGATCTGCAAATAATTTGCACTATCTTTAGTCCAGATTTAGCTCCCTCCATTTTGCAAAAATGGTTTTGTATAATTAATACATTTGGACCCTAATTATTGCTTTCAATTTTTTCAATGTTATTATTATTTTGAATAAATATTCTTGAAAAAAAAATATTCATGAAAATATGTTTGAAAATATTCTTGAATTATTGTTGAGTTTTCCCTGGCATTTCAATGCAACGGCAGTGCATAGTTTTCATGGAGTTCGTGGATGTTATTGATTGACGATTTGAATATTCACGTTATTTATTATTTATCAGTATATTACTGAGTCTAAAAGATAAGAATTTCATCAGTGTCAGTTTCATAACACACTTTTGCTATGCGACTATTTTTCCTACACGTTATAGGTTACATGTATCTTCATACTCATATCAGCCTGATAATTTAATGCTCCTAAATAATCAGCAATAGCCAAATCTATTAATATTATCAATTGATGTATCCGTGAACGTCTCCTCAGACTTAACTAACTCGATCGTATCTTCACTTGTTCTATGAGCACTCCATTATACTATACTGACTCAACTGTATTATCAATCGCTTTATTCGATCAATTATCAACATCAGTTGAGCTATTAACGTCCATTGCACAATAACCCTCCAGGTATAATATTGAGTATACCGTTATTAATACATGCCATCATTATGTGATATAATTAATATATATTATGTAATTAATAAATTAACATGTCCGGCGTCAGTGGTGGCAGCAAACTACCACTTAAAATATGTAATGTCATATAATTAATTTGAATTACATCAGTAATGGCAACAAACATTCACTTAACACATGTAATATGTAAAATAATTAATATGCATTACATCAGTAGTGGCAACAAACATTCACTTAACACATGTAATATGTAATGTAATTAATATGCACTGTATCAGTGGTGGCAACAAACATTCACTTAACACATTTAATATGTAAAATAATTAATATGCACTACACCAGTGGTGGCAACAAACATTCACTTAACACATGTAATATGTAATGTAATTATTATGCACTACACCAGTGGTGGCAGCGAACGACCTGAAGTGGCGCACCACGGCGGGCGGGATGTTCAAGCCGTTCGTAGAGGTTCATCTCATCGGTCCTTATCTGTCGGACAAGAAGCGCCGCTTTACCACCAAGACCAAGTCTAATGCATGGTCTCCTAAGTTCAATGAGAGCTGCCAGTTGTGAGTATAATACATAGCATGTAATAAATTAATTATGAAAATTATGTAAGTATCTATTATATGAATAATATATTATTATAATACATTATATGCAGCAGGCAGAATCGCATAAGTTGTTTCACAAAACGAAAAAGTTAGTCATTCAAGTTGTGAAGACTTGCATTGAGCGGGCTACATCTAACCCAATCAATGCGTTTAATAAATGTCATTAATTATTCTTTCACCCGTGACTTGAAAAATACCGTACTTAAGCTAATGCTTGTTCTAATGGGTATTACTGTCCCTGTAGTTCAGGAACACAGCGTTCTTGAACTAGTCCTTGCTGTAATAGGTATTAAAATCCTCTTGACTTATAACATACCATGCCTAAATTAATCCTTTCCTAAGTAGATATTAAAATCCTCTTGACTTGTAACATACCTTGCCTAAATTAATCCTTGTTCTAGTATGTATTAATATCGTTTTCATCGCCTACAGCCCCATCGGTGGCGACGAAGGCCCGGAGAGTTACGAGCTACACGTCGCAGTCAAGGATTACTGCTTCGCTCGTGACGACAGACTCGTGGGTGTAGCGGTGCTGCAGCTCAGGGATATCCTAGAGCAGGTACATCATCTTCGACACATGGCTACTGCTTAGAACCTGGCTCTGGGTTAATTTTTTTCTTGCATAGAAACTAATGTTATAAAATATAATGCAACACCTGTCGTCTGTCGACGTTTAATACAGATACGGACGATGATGCAACACCTGTCGACGAGTGAAACGTTTGTTTAATACTGATACGGACGATGATGCAACACCTGTCGACGAGTGAAACGTTTGTTTAATACTGATACGGACGATGATGCAACATCTGTAACATCGACGAGTGTAACGTGTGTTTCATAATAATCTGGACAAAAATGTAACAACTGTCGAAGTATCGTTTCTCTTAATTAGTGCGGCCGCGGATATATTTAATCTAATATTTTTTGATGCAGCTGTACAAACTAACCGATTCTCTTCAATCAAAAACGGACACGGTAATTTTAAGATTAATACATTTGATTTCCTGTATTATTAAGAAAAGGTATTGAGACTTATTCAGTCCAATATAGTTTTGACTGAACAAGAAACTTCCAAATTAAATGTCAGTGAGAAGGTTAACAAACGTTGCTTATTTTATATAGCTGAGTTAAATAGCTTTGTTACTTCTGACTAAACTGTAATTTCGATGTGACACACACAGCCAAAAGTATGTCAGTTAATTACTATTTACCAGGACGCGCCCTCATATTGAAATGTAATTCAAAATCAGGCCGTTGAGTGTCAGATTTTTTGTTGGACAGGTTTCTTCAAATAGCCGTGTTCACCGTTGCATCTGACACCAATCAAAGCAGTGATGTAACAATAAATTTTTGCATAAATTGGATTAATACCTCGAGCGTGAACAAATTGAAATCACTCGAGAATAAATTGAACCACGACAGATCACTCACTAAATAATGTATCGTGACTAATTTATGACTCGCGCGTGATCAGTGACATCACGGCTTGCATTTTCAACCTTCTGTCTATTAACGGTCATTCTATTGCCTTGCAGCCGGATATGAATAACATTGACCACGGTGAATATATCTGTATAGACACCGTTTCCCTTTGTCTACTGAAGGTCCAGCTCGTTTCAGGATTTTATGTTTGAATTGCATCCACGATAGTTGATTTATCCTTGTAAATATCATCCTGGTCATCCCTTTAATCATCTTTAATCCTTGAAATAAACCATTATCCTTTAATAAATCATCCTTATTATCCTCTAAATATTTAAATATCATCCTTATCATCCTTTAAATATTGAAATATCATCCTTTTATCCTTTTAAATATAAAATATCTGATCATCCGTTGCAGGGTTCCTGCACGCCGTGGCTGTCGCTAGGCAAGCGCTGTCACATGGACGAGACTGGCTGGACTGTCCTCAGGATCCTCAGCCAGAGAACCAACGACGAAGTCGCCAAAGAACTCGTCAAGTTGAAATCAGACGTCAGAAGTGAACCTCCCCTGCAGTAATATGATTTTTTTATAGTCTCCTGGCAGTTATCAACGGAAGGGCTGAGCTTCGCGGTGACTCCATAGCTTGCTGTGTCTTCTCATCCTCCATTTGCGTTCCTGTGATGGCAGATTATAATCATAAGTTGCCACGTTGTCGTATGTCCATTAGACGGTCAATGGCCATTTTAAAACAATTCTCAAGTTTCAAAGTAGAGAAATTATTTCTAAACATCAATATATTAGCAATCATCGCCAGCAGACTTATAGCGAATCTGGCGTCTAAGCGACGTTCGGTTTGGAAGTTTTGCATGTGCATGGGAAAAAACTGCGTTTATGAATCCTTACAGTATTTCAATGTGTTATCCCTGAAGAAGACTTGAACATTTTGACATGGCCGTAGGGTTTGGGTAAGCTCTTTAGAAAGAATTCTCCCTGAACGTGCATGGTTGAGTTACTGTCGGTTGGGCAGAGCCCGAGTCTTTCATAAGTTCTGTGTTCGACTTCCTTGTAGTTCGCGAACGAGAAGTGCGTGCGTGTGCGATGGAAGTGGCAGCATTTTAGAGAATATTTTCTGTGAAAAACTGAGAGTCAAGATACTTCTGTTGTTTGAGAAAATTTCTGCATGGACGTGTTTTGTACAGAGTACATCAAATTCCATTTGCGTACAAATATATGATATAGACTATTTTTATGTGAAGTTTTTGATTCCTAGAATTCTCCGTAGCATTAATTCGAGGCGCCAAAATATTTTTTTCATTGCGATCCCTTTACAGTGAACCAATATTTTTCCCGAGTACGAAATCCCCCGGTCCCTCTGGACTCTCTTTGCCGCTTAGTTTTGGTCTTCTTACATGCGACACATTTCAGCATTCGGATTTCGTTGAAGCATTTAGCCTTCAGCTCGATGGTGCAAAGGATGCATGGAAACGGGATTTGCTCGTCGCCAACTTGTGTTATGTGTTCTTATTCATGACACCCGATCTCAAGCGATTGTTTTCATGTCATGTTTTGTTTTATTGATTGCGAAAGCCGATTGACCAAAGTGTGCCGATACATTATCAAATTTGTTAATGCCCCTGTTCGTGAAGATTACGATTACACATTGCGTTCAGACTACAGTTATTAGTTTTCGACATAATAAAAGATTTATCACAGTAACAGCAAACCGTGCTCGATATTATGCCTCTTGTCGAGAATTTTTAAACCAGACGCGATCTGAAATTAACTGCCAATTTACCTTATCCAAATTCGCTTCAATGATTGTGGCTCGGTATATAACCCATCCATCTGTGATTTAATTGAGATTTTATAGTCGTTGTCATGATTGAATTGTACGTCTGAGAAATATATTATACTGTAGAAGGCTGCAATTAATTACAAATGTCGATCAGGGTATTTTGTGACGAATTTTATTGGATTCTTTCTTAATATTTTATTGTAATTCGTTACTCACTGAATGTATCCTAACCGAAACATGTGATGCATCTGCAATACCAAACTTTCAAGAAATGTATATCTTTAGCCAAAAACCCATGTGCTTGGCTTGATATTGAAACGTTCTACGTGGAAGGCTCGACAGCGCACTGAATTTAGCATCTATTTGTGGAACCGATTCTCAACTATCTGTAGGTTTTTCTTAAATCATATCATTTGAGGTTAGAGGTTGTGATTGTGCCCAAATGCATAGTTAAGCTCTTTCGTTAGATGTGCGTTCATCTTTTTTTTCTATTGACTAAAGATACGTTTTGTCAGGTTTGTCATTTTCTACATGCTGTAGTTAAGTAGTGCATTTCATTCTGAAGTGCAGCTGCTAAGTGTAAATTTAATCGACAAAACGTCATATGAACCATTGGCTCGTCTATCTTTGATATTTTCGTATGTTATAATTTTTCCGGCTCATTTACGAGCCATTGATGCCCATCATTGATGATGTAGGTACTTATTTTCTAAGTTTATGGTAGCAAGCAACACTTAGTTAACTGGCCGGCGTCTAGAACTCTGTTGCTTGTGAACGTCATCTGAGCATTTAATTTCCGAATATTAGTAGACGTAGTTCTTTATAAATATATACATAGATTTATAATTTATTAACATCCAATTTAAGCTGGGTTAGGCTGTTGAAGATATTCTATGACTCTATAAATACCTATACATATGTGTGTAAATAAGTTAGCCTGTTGTCGAGGTTACCGTATGTCTATTGACTCTTCTGCATCTCTCTGTACTCATATCTTCGTGTAAATAATAGGGAATAATTCACGTAATTAAGACCTTTAGTGATTGTTCTTACCACTGCACATCCCAAATGTGTTTTATGTTAAATCTTTATCATTATTATTAAGATTATTGTTATCATTTGGTGAAAGAATATCGCCTGGTGAAGTAGAATATCTATCGTCCATGCGGATTTTTCGTACCGGCAACACGTGGTGTGTGTGTGTTTGTGTTTCAGCTGTGTTTTTTTTTGCCTTAAAAATTTAAATGCGATTAAGTACTTTGCTAATTATGTGAGCCCTACTGCTTTACGCACCAGGCTATCGTGTAAATTCATTGACCAAATGACATTTATTTGGGAAAAATTTACTGAAATTTTTCATTTCAAGAAAATTTTTTCACGATTTTGTCGTCGAAACAAAAATTTATAATTATAGCAACGGCAAGTTTGATGAGCCTTGACGCCTATGATTTCATACGTCCTGTGCCGTGAATTACAACTAACTTGTCCTCCCGCTTCCTTGGTTAAAAAAACTGTACTAACCGCTACTGAATCTCTAACGATCGATTTCTGCAGATCCGTTGCATAAACTGCGTTAAGCTATTCATTGCGCCTGTGTTGGGTTACATTAAAATAATGTGTTCACTACGCGGTTCTGTGCTATGACTCGCATTGCTTGGCAAACGCTCGCGGATGATTCAAATACGTATCTGCTAATGGCTGTTCAAAAATTTTACTTCACATGTTTGTTCTATGATCGTGTTGAAGCGAGTTACCCGTCGATCTTTGTCGTTTTCAATATTGGGCGACCTAATCTTCAGATCATGTTGAATTTGAAAAATTTCTAAATGATCTTTAGCATGATAATTTCTTTGCATGGTAACAAAAGGCGTAATTTTTTTAATTGTCAACTTTTCTCTACTCAAAGGAATAGATTGAATATCTAACGTGTACCTACTAATTTGTATAGTCAGTTAAGCATCAAGGTGGCCTCGAGGAGAGCCGCATTTCAATAGAGCATAATGAATAATATCTATAGCCGCCTTTTGTCCTTTGAAAACACTTTGTTAACGATAAGTTATCCTTGATCGTACGCTAGAATTGCATCTTTGTTTGTACACATTGTTTACCGTGGACCAATCGATATCGTGCGCCGCACGTCCCGATATTGAACTTTATAATGCTAAGTAAGTTGCCGCCACTCAAGTTAATAACACTTATTTAGTTGCCTCACACATATGATCAATAATTTCATTCTTCTTTCTTTTTCAATTCTTGCATCTTTTTAATGTTGCTCGCCCTCCAATTACTCGTCAAGTTTAACCTCGTTTGTCGAATTCACGAACTTCAAAAAAATAAATAAACTGAATTAATGATCTCTTCACTGCTAAACGAGCAAGTTTTCTGTTCTAGCGCAGCAAGTTTCCTAGAGCCTTTTTTTCTTCCGTGACTTTAGTGTCGAGTAATTAAAATCCCAGCAACTCAGCCACCACTACGTCAATTCAGTGAATCTACAATATAAACTAAATTAAACCGCTGTACCTTTTATTTTTCTCTATGGTATTCCAAATACGCCAGAGTAACGAAAAAATGATGAGACCTAGAATTGACCAAGTTACAATTATTGTTTGTTTTCTTTCCTCTAGTGTTGTTGCATCAACTGTAAAAAAGGTGGTTTGCTTTTTTTTTTTGTTGTTTTTCCCCATAAAGATCAGACTTGCTTTGCACATCAGCTGCAGACTGAGCCGCCGAGCAAATTGTTCTTGATTCGACAATACGTTTATAGCTCAACTTTATTTTTTAGTCTGTAATGACGTTATTGTCACGTCATTTAAAGATAATTTCAGGCGACCGAGCAGTCTGCGGCTGAAGTACATGTTTCCTCAGACACGATGTGTTGGAAAAGAGCCCCACACTTTACAGTCGCTCCAACTTTTTGTTCGGAGTTCAAGTCATCTATCCAAAAATTATAATAATAATAAATTCCCTTCGAAGCAAATGGTTTTTGTTCCCCAGTGCCTGCTGCTAGCTCTGTTGGGTAAATTGATGCCGGACATTTTATACTTAGAGGTTTACTGACAAGAAAAATAAATTGCTGATATCTTTTTGAATGTATTAGCGTGTATTAGCGAACTTACAAACTTACAACGAACGTGCTACTATAGAGTCTTGATTGAAATAAAAGCAAAAGGAAATAGAAGAAAAGACATACATAATTTTAAACGTACATGCAGTTATTGTTATCAGTGCAAATACCATTTTAATAGGACATTGGAAATGAGCACGAAATTCATGGTAATTTTTTATTTCATCATCATTTATAATATTACACGGCATCGGTAAAGTGAAAAAATATGAACAGCAATTTTCTTCAGTATTTATTAGAGTTAGTTCATCATGTATGGGATACTATAGAAATTTTAATTGAAGTGTAATACTATTCGTTCATTTGCTTGAAGTAGGAACTGTACTCTGTACCGTAATGCTAGGCGCCCTAGGCAACGACTGTAGTTAGTTTCGCTGTCCTCATGAATGTGGAGTGTCGACAATCACGAGTCATTTACAGTGATTTGAATACACTTCGAAATTTAGGTTCAACTTTAACTTATGAAAATGAAATAAGAGGTAGTGGTTGAAGACGTGGAATCCAGTTGTCGAAGAATAATCTTCATAACAAACTGACAGTACCAGCATTGCACGGTTGGTTCCGTGGATCTTTTGCAAGATATTTTGAAAGAATTTGTGCAATCTTTGGCAAGATATTTTGAAAGAATTTGTGCAATAATATCCTGTCGAGTTTGAACTGCAATTTCTTGCTGGTATATAATTACTATCATAAAGTTATCTCTTTTACTGCCTGTGGAATTAAAATAAAACTCAGTGAAGTTAGAAAAAATTCGCCTTGTCTCACGGAATAAATAGCTTTTTTAACAAATTCATAAAAAAGTCGTGTATTTCACCGACCTAGAATCCCGACATAAAATTATTCGTCGTGCGCGCAGTTTGACCGTACGCAACTTTCCACTCGCGTATAATTTTCTGTGGACTGAACCTTCAATTTAGTACGCAAGGTCAAACCAGGTATGAGTAATCGTGCAGGGTCTAATGATGCTCGCGGGCTACTGACAAGCACAAGGCAATTTGCTGACAGTTGTGACCTCCACCATCGAAGTCGCACGCGCACGCACTCCGACCGCAGTCGTGCCGATTGCACCATCTGCTACTTCTGAATTATTCTATGAGACATTGTAATGCTTCATACATAGCACGAATTATCAAGAAATAACATGATACCATTTTGTGCGTCTTCAGTTACTTGTAAGCAATGACATCAGGCTGAAGAGCAGTACTTAAGAATTATGGTGTCTAGCGCAATATGGCAGTAGCTGCCAGGCGTAGCGACTTGCAACTCGCTGCGACTCGCTGGCAGTGTTGCCAGATGGGCCTTTTTCAGGCCAAATTTCGCAAATGTGGCCTTTTTTGAAATGCATTGGCCTGAAAAATTTCATTTGGCCTTTTCGTCCGTTTTGGGCCTTTTCTTATGAAAAATGTAACTCTCGTTTTTTATGATAATTTGGTCCTTCAATTTTATCCAGAACGGGTCGCCTGCCGAAGACCACCACTGCCCTGGATGTAATGGACTATCATGACTCCTGTACTCCGGAACGTAGCCTTCAACACTTCTGGAAAATCATATAGGCAGCCGAAAGCCACCAGACAGAACGAATCAATTGAATTAGAGTATTAGACCAATCAGCCCTCAGGAGAAACTGCCGGCGATCGAATGGCCTAGCATCGTCCGCCGTACCGCGAAAAAATTGTACACCACTCGGTCGTAGCGCGCCGGAGCCTTGCAGCGAATGTGATATCCGCCACCAAGCCGTCCGTATCTAGGCAGTGCGTCGAACCAGCCCTCGGTCGAACGCTGGTGCACGGCTGCGTTCCCATCCAGGACGAGTGCACCCAAATTCAGTTTTGCCCAAGACGAGTACACTCAAATTTTGACACGAAACTGTGTCAACACTTCGGTTTAGGTGGCAACACTAGCGAGTGCCGCCTAATCTGGGCAACACTTTGGTTGAACCATGGGACTATATCCAATTGCCGATTCGTATTAATTAAGAACCATGGACGGCAGAGCTGACAGAGCGTATAATCGAGTATAGTTTTCACTTCTAAAGAGCAGCACATTTAGCACTATTTTTTGAGGTTACAGCACAGCTTCTCGATATATTCAGCCTTCTGGTGTGAGTCACTTCAAGATATCACTTTGAACAAATAAATTTTATTTCCTATGCAAGTAATGATAGGCAATATACTATTTTCCTGCGCATTCAAAAGTTGTGATAAATTTATAGGATTGACTTCTAATATTTAGATTAGTCTTGCAAGGACCACATCATCTCTATACCGCAGAAATGAGTTTAAATTTTTTCATCTTCCGATTATAAATATTCTACCGTCAATGCCAACATGTCAAAAACTTCGCCACATGGGTCGCCTGTCGAAGACCACTACTGCCCTGCCAGATGTAATGGACCATTATGATTCCTGCCTTCCGGAACGTCGCCTTCATTACTTAATTAAAGTCGTCCGTATATAGGCCGTAGGTCGAACCAGCCCTCGGTCGAACGGCCACTTGTCGAAAGACGATAAATTTTGGAACAGAACTATGCTATCTGAAACCTAACCTCAGATGCGGTGAACGTAAAATTACTTAAATTAACGATGCCCGGAAGTCAGATTCGATCCGCGGCCTGGTGGTGCACGGCAGGTTCTATGCGAGGCCGGAGGAAGACAAAGCCGAGTGGTTCACGGCTGATTGGTGGATGTCCGGAGATATCCAAGGCGTTCGATTCAGGGCTTATTGGAGCACAAAATTGGTGGTGCACGGCTGCGCTCCCCGCCAACATCACTTATGTCGCCTACCACTTTACTATCTATTTCGTTAGCAAAATAGCAAAACAGAGCCCAAACTCTAACGCGAACGAAAAGTTTTATGGTTGTTAGGTGACAATTGAATCCTCAATATCAATATATCATGTATTATACAGTTTTATTTACGGTCGGCGAGCAACGTGCAATTCGCTGAAGGCTGGCGGCTTATGTAGCATTGACGGTATTTCAGCTCATACACGTGATGAAATTGGTCTATTTTTTGCTGTCTGAAAGCCTTGAGAGTAAATGCATGCACTGCAAAAGGTTAGAACTACCTTAAATTAAAAAATTTTCTATTAATTTCAAATATGGCCTTTTTGGGCCTTTTTTGTGAGTCAAATTGGCCTTTTTCTCTTGGCTCCATCTGGCAACCCTGCTCGCTGGTGCCCAGTGTCAATGCGACTTTG